TAGCGTGATTTGGGTAGTATTGTTGGGATTGCATTGGTATCTGCATTGAAATAGCAAAACAGGCTAATTAAGCCCACAGTTTAATAGCCTAGGCAGCCTCTTGGGTTTAGCAGAATTGAATTTAATAACCACCTACATGTCAGCCCTGAAACTGGCTACCTGTTTGAGTCATCTGTGGAATACCAGTCCTGGCTTCATGTTTTTTGTCTAGAAAAAAAATCCTAAAGATGTTGGTAATAGAGGTTTGGACAGAGGTTTGAGGACAAGGTATGGAAGATACCAGAACCAGATGGAGTGGGTGTCTCCTAACATGATTGATGTTTGAATTTCTCTCTTCACACTCCCATGCCTTCAGTGCTTACGTCTGCTAGAAAACAGACTACAATTGCTTAGAAACCACAGAGCAATCGCTGAAAATGTCTCCAAGGTGAGATGCAAGTTAAAAACTGAAAGCCTCCAGGAGATCTAAGAAACAAACAGCTTGCACTTAAAATACATCTAGAGATGTTCAGCGTCTAACACCTATCAGTTTCACTCTGATACCTAACCAGAAACTTCTGTGAATCTGGATTGAAGTCATACAAACAAGCTATAGGGAGCTAAAACTCTTTTCATTCTATTTCAGGTCTTTTCCACTGCATTTTGATGAGAACTCATTCTTTGCAGGGAATAAAAAGGAAGCTGCAAAGCTAAAGGTAAACTAAAGGTTGTCCAGCCCTTCCCTTTGGGGCACTTTCTCCCTAAACAGTATTTTGTGTGTGTCTGGAATAATGCTGGATCTGAACAGGACTCTGCTATGGTCAAGGTACTGGATCAGGTATTTCCAGTCCATTTTGTTTTTCTGGATGGTTTGGTACTCGTTGGAAGCTACAGGTTGTAGGGTGTACCTTAAGGAGAGTGGTCTGAGGAAGAAGCATTTTAAGCTAAATTTGGTGAGACTTAGTTGGTAGAGTCCAGAATTAATACATTATTGGGTTTGAATTAATGAATTAATACATAGAAGTCCTAATTTGCATGTAAACGTGATCAACTTAAATGTCTTTTCCCCTAGGAGGAATTCAGGCTACACTTCAAGAACATTACCAGGATAATGGACTGTGTTGGCTGCTTCAAATGTCGCCTCTGGGGGAAGTTGCAGGTAAGCTTGGCCAGCAGTCTGGGGCACGCCTGGAAGCACCTCACGTGGTGGGATTTTGCTCAAATGCAGCTCTTAAATCCCATCAGCTCCCAGATACAGATCAGGGCTGCTTCATTTCTTACCAGGGTCCAGTCAGCAGGAAGCAGTGTGCTGCTGATTTTGGATCATACAGGAGCTGTGTGTTGCCTCTGCAGCTGAAAACCAGGTTACCCTGCTGCAGCTGAGAGTCTGGGAGAGTGGAGAGGGTGTGTAGAGCCTCTGGCAAACATCTAGGGGTTCAGCAAGATCCGCACTGACCTTTGTGTGGTCGAACTTAGACAGGAAGCCTCTGTTGGGCAGCTCTGCTATCAAAATAAGTCTAAATAAACAGAACGTCCTGGCTCCGTTCTGCTTCCTTCTCTTCAGTGTGCTAAGTGAAATCTAAGTCTTGCCCTGTGAAGCTGATGTCAACAGGAACCTTTGCAAACATGAAGAAGGGAAGTGAAGTTAAACTTGTGAGCCCCCTCCCCTGTATTAAATGATCTTGTTTGTCCTGCACAGACACAAGGCTTGGGCACGGTGCTGAAGATCCTGTTTTCTGAAAACCTGATAGGAAAGATACCTGAAAGCGGTCCTTCCTACGGATTCCGGCTGACAAGACAAGAAATTGTTGCACTATTTAATGCTTTTGGAAGGTTAGTGTGAGAATTTGTCTCCAATCTTACATGTGCTGCTGTGTTACATCCCATTTAAGCTTCACAGTTGACTTTCATCACTAGTATTGGTGTTAATTCCCGTTCTGATCATACTTTCTCATCAAGAAGCTCTCAGATGCCAGAGGATGTTCATGTAGAAGTGCAACAGGTAGAACAAAACAAGTTATTTATATTTTTGTAAGGAATTCAAGGAAGTGCTTGAATTTAGACACAAAGAACTTGGTTTTTAAGAAACTGTGCGACTCTGTCCTGTGAGCACACTGTCCCAAACTAAGGTTGCTCTTCTTACCTGTTCTATATCCACTTCAGACTCTCCTCCAAGCATCAAACTCCCACCAGTTTGTTCCCAGATCTGTCTGCAATCGTTGCATTTGTCAGGAAGCCATCAGTGCAGCCCTGTGGGGAGCTGGGTTAGGTTTTTGGCAGAAAAAGGTAATGAGGCCTTTAGGGGAGAGGGGAGATTGCAAGAAGCTTTGGTTATACATTACCGCGTAGTGGTGTTGACAGACCTGGAGTTTCTGGCAATCAGGTTTTTAAAGGATTTTTCGGTCGATGTTGCTGCCAATACTTAAAGCTCAGTGGTCCTGATTGTCTTCTGCAGTGTGAATTGGCAGCAATAGGGAGCCCCTAATGTGTATCAGTCAAAGCTGGAAAACCCCAAAAGACCCTTATCCAGGGATGTTATATTGCCTCCCCTCCTGCACACAGCTGCTCTGCTCTCCTTAGATGAGAGGAGCTGGGATTGGTTCTGCCTTTATATTGCCATGTTGGCACAGCCTCTGGAAAAGTCTGCATGCAGGAGACCTCCAGACCCTCTGAAAGTCTGTTTTCAGAGGAAGCTGAGGGCTGGCAGGCAAAGAGCCTTTTTCTTTTCTTCCCCTTCCCCCTCTGCTGCCCTGCTAAAACTTTTCTCTGTAAGTTCTGCTGTGTGAAAAGACTGAAGGCAGGCAGCTTGTCTCAGCTCTTACTCCAACCTCACATCCTACCTATGTGGATTAGAAGAGCCTTTTAAAGCAGACCTGCATCTTTTTTTTTGCTTAGAAGTGATTTGGATGATTCAAAATATTTAAAACCTTAAAAGAGAGGGCAGTGTTGGCTGGGGAGGGGGTGGACCTTATTCTCTGAGTCCAATCCAGCATTTCCTGCTGCCGATGCTCCAGGGGCAAAATGCATTCAGCAAGAAAATGAGGTAGGTGAGTGAAAAAAGCCTTCGGAAGAAACAAGCTTATACCACAAGGAGACTCAGCGACCTGCCTGCACAGCTGGTAATATTATGGTCTGTTTCTTGACCTCTAGTTAATGGGTTTGTCTGATCACTGCTAAGCTCTGTAACATCCTGTTCCACTGTGTCTCGGTAACAGAACCTCATGTCTGTTTGCTTTATAAAGAGTCTACAAAATTAGTTAGGTTCTGGTTCAGCCAGGCTCTTAATTTAGCTGAATTTCTAAATTCTCTCTTCCCAAGAGCTGCTTGAAGGTTTTCTTGATAGCAGTCCCTTTCTTGATTTTATTTTATTTTTTAAATTAAGTATGATGCATATGTTGCTCTGTTTTTCTTTCCTTGTACACAGGGTTTCAACGAGTGTTAGAGAATTGGAAAACTTCAGGAACATCTTAAGGAATATGCAGTGAATTCACTAGAGAAAGGGACTGAAGTTTTATTGTTTGTGTCCTGGGTTCTTTAAAACCAGACAAATGCTGTAATTCCATGCCACTCCTGACTGCTGCCAGGTGAAGACCACTTGCTGGGCCTCCTGTTCCGAAGCTGATTGTCTGTAAGCTGCTGATGCCAAATCTTTTGTACAAAAAAAAAATAATACTATTTTGTATAAAAGTGGGGACTACGTGTAAAGTTTATTTTATATATTGGGAGATCATTCTGAATAATTTCTTTAAGTATTGCTGAATAAATTTGGGGAAAATTCCTTGTCTGCTCCATGTTTCTTCAGCCACCAACAACCATGGTAGAAGGGTGTCCACCCTCCAACGTTGTTCCTGGCCCCAGCATTTGTTCCTAATGTGCCTTAACTCACACCTAAAGTCCCTGCAGGTTACGGTTAGGCTGGTAGTGGTGTTCCTGTGTTCCCCACAAGAAATAATGGGGTTTAGACAGAGCAAGGTGAGCTGCTGTAGCAGTTCTGACCTGCTGATGTGTGTTCTATGATGTTCTTTATGATGCTGGACTGAGCAGATGGCATTTCAGGGCACTGCTGCAGGGGGAGCAGTGCTCCTTGTGCTGCACCGAGGGTGCTGGGAGCTGAAGCACACACGAAGTTGCAGCATTGCACTGCAGGAATCTTGCAACTTGCTATTTGGCTGGTCTTGGGCCTCTATTTTGGGTAAAAGCAGGTGGGAGAAGCAGCACAGGACCCTCTCCTGCTCCCTTACAGGAATGCAACCTTTGGCTTCCCTCTCTCCCCACCTGAGCCCACTCAGCCCGGTTTGCCCTAATTTATCTCATGCTGGTAGCTGGGCAGGGCTAAAAAGGGAAAGGATGGACCTGCTGCACAGCTGCTGCTCCTCCGAGGCTGGTACAAAGCTGAATTTTGCTGCTCCAAGGACAAGAAGCTGGGGCAGTAGGACAGAGCTGCTGCCAGGCACAGCCCCAGCTCCCTGCCTGCACCCTGGCCCTACAACCAGCCTGGTCCCATAACTCTGTGCTTCATGACGGCGCCCAGGAGAGGCTCGTGGTTGGTGCTACGCAAGAATAAAGCCCAAAAATGCACATGCAAGGGGGTGAGCGCTGATTTTGCCCCCTAAAAGGAGGCAGGCAGTGCTGTGTGCAGCTGCTGCAATCCAAAACAAGCCCAAGGCCGTGCTGATAAACCCGTGCCAGGGGTGTTAGGAAGTGAGGGAACGCAGAGCTGCTGGGCTTTGTTTTTTTGCCTCCTCCACAGCTCACAGCAGGTGCTGGAGGGGCTGCAGGTGCAGACAGGAGCCTGAGAACCCCTGGGAATGCTGCGTGGGCACCCCTGCCTGGCCAGAGGCAGCTTTTTTAAGGAGCTAGGGGTGATTTTGTGGGGCAGCAGGCAGCTGTCCCCGTGTCCTGTGCTGCCTCAACCCCCCCAGCCCCTCACCTGGGCCGGGCAGACTCCAGGACCACTTCTGGAGCTGGGCAAGAGCAGAACTCAGCCGGGCCTCTGGCAAGGCAGCACAGAAACTTTTTCCTTTTTTTTTTTTTTATTTCAACATCGTAGTGCTTGGTTACAGTTTAGTGAAGAACAAATAGGTACATTCATCGGCCACAGCTTCCTGTTGCAGCCAGCAGCTGCCTGCCTGCGAAGCCAACACGCTGTTAAACCAGACCGAAAAGAGAAAAGGAAAAAAAAAAAAAAAAAGTTTAATGAAAGGCAACTATGCATTAAAAAAGTCATTGTACTTTTCTCAGCTATAAATTACTTCGGTAAAACACAAGCCCGACCCCACGGGGAGCAGTCAGAGCTCGGAAATTAACGGCCAGCCATACAAACGAGGGAAACCAAAACACTTTTGCCAGTCACTCACGAGTACATCAGCAAGGCGACTCACTGCCCCGACCTGCGATCCTACTGCCAGGAAGATCGTATTGGTGGTGTGTGCTTCAGTGCAATGTGAACAATGAGCCTGTAGCCCTTGAATTTGTATTTATTTCATCATTATTATTATTATTATTTTTTTTTTTTTTTTGCACTACGCTCCCTTCCCTCCAAAGAAAAACTTAAAGTGCTCCTAGTGCTTTGGAATTTAAGCAAGAACCGGGGGCCGCTAGCGTCGTTCGCTGTCTTTGGTGACTTATGGGAGGAGAAAAAAAAGGGCAGCAGGGCTGGGGCCGCCCTTAGCTCTGCCATAAGTCGAGCGGTGATGGATGGAGCAACCTCCCCCTGCAGCCAGGAGAGCCGTGGCGGTGGGGAGGGAGCTCCCTGCTTCAAGTACTGCACCAGGGATGTGCCACAAAGCCCTGATCTGAGCCCTCTCCACCAAGCAGCTGAGGTTGCTCCTTCCCTGGGGCAGCAAAAACCACACCAAGGGGCTGGGGGTGCTCGGGGTGACAAGCGACAGCGAGCTCGGTGCAAGCAAGGCAGGTGACAGGGTGACAAAGGGGGGGTGGCCAGGCCACACCAGTGAGGCCAGGGCTGCCCCAGTGCTTGGGGCTGCTCGCACAAGCTGCTGGGGACACCCGAGCAGGGCAGCAGCACTTCCAGTTGACGTTTTCAGCAGAGGTCAAAGCAGCCACCAGCCCTGGAGCAGCCCCTCCAGCCCAGCACGAGTCCAGAGCCACTTTACTCACCCCACGCAGGGCTCAGAGACATGGCAGGGAACAGATCCAGCCTGAAACACAGAGTCTCACCTCCCAGAGCTGCCTATTCTGGTCCAAGGGAAGGACAGACTGAGCCTCCTCCCAGCCTGAGCCAGCACACCGAAGCCCCACGGCTACAGCCTGCTCCATGGCACCCCAGGAGAGAGCCAGGAGAGGAGGGGAAGAAGCCCAAGGACCAGATTTCAGCAGCTTCTGCCCCCTCCCTGCTCAACAGCAGGCTCTGCTGGTTCACATTTGCTCAGGGTAGAAGTTTCGGGTATCTGCTAAATGCCAGTGAATACTGAGGGGCAGAGCAGCCCCACGATGGGTGAAGAGGAGGGATCAGGACCACGCTCACCCCCAGCAGGTGAAGCAGCCCTCATTTCACACACACTTCAGGCCCGGGCATCGTTTTGCTGAGCCAACTCCAGCCCTAAGAGCCCCCAGCCCCCCATCCCCTCCCTCTCAGCAGCTCCAGCCCTCTTCCTCCGCCACCAGCCAGGGGTTGGGCACAAGGCAGCCACCTCAAGAGCAGCAGGAGCACTCGATCTCACCCTCACAGGCCTTCGCTGGGGATATGCTTCGAGCCCACGAGCCTTGGCAGGATGGGGACAGCAACCGGGGCCAGCAGTCAGAGCAGGACCACGCTCCAGCCCCTGCCCCTAACACTGGTAACTGAGCTCCACGCTCCCACGCGAGTCAGGATGCAGAGTACTTCACGGAATACATCTTTGCAGGAAGACAGTGCCTCTCCCAGCGACGGATGTGCAATTAAAAGAGTAACTAGAACAGTCTCAGACCAGGCGCGGTCCGAGCGAGATCCGTTCCTTCCAAGTGTGCAGATAAAAAGTGCAAATATGCATTGGATGTTTCTTTTTTTTTCTAGTGAGGAAGCTCTGGTGCATTTAGCTGCCAACATCTTGAAGACCAGACCAAGAAAAAAAAAAAAAATAAGCTTCCAGAAGAGAGTTCAGCTTCACTTTGCTACATGGTACCTTAATAAAGTCACAGTTCTCTCGCTCACCGCCCGCAGCCGTCGGCTCAGTCCCGCTCAGGGCTGCGGCAGGTAGTGGAATGTTTGTGTCAATGAGTTAGATGCTTCAGGGGGAGGAAAAAAAAACAAAGAACAGGTTACAATCCTATACATGAATGCCACTTCTGGGAGGAAAGGGGCCTGGCAGCCTCCTCAGTTCTGCGGTGTGGGGCAGGAGCTGTGGTGGGTGTTTGCTTCCGAGCCGCCTGCAGCAGAGAGCAAGGGGGCACTGTCTGCAGCCCCGCCGAGCTGGGGACCCGCCGTGTAGCTGTCGTTCCCAGCCAGGGCCCCGTAGCAGCCAGAGCACTGAGGGGTGGCCAAGCTGGGAGGAGAGAGCAGAAAACCAGAAGGGGACTCAGGGATGGATCGTTTTGAACATTGCCTCTACCACCAGGCCAGCCCAGGGAAGAGTTTTGCCCCCAGCACTGACCACGGTGCACGTCTGTGGGTTAGGATGAGCAGGTTGGTGTCCCCAAGGAAGCAGGTGCAAAGAAAGGAGCACCAGGTCCTACAGAATTGGTCAAGGAGAGGCAGAACCTCTCAGTTCTTCACAAAAAAAAACAGCCAGGAGGACCTCAGAGCCCCAGGCAGCAAGGCCAGGGCCATCAGGTTTCCTTTTAGTTCTGCTGGGGATACCAGAGCATCCTCCCCCATCCCAAATGTTCCTGCAGAGCTTTGTCCCAGAAACCAAATCTCTCCCAGGGCTTCACCACCTCACTTCCCAGCAGAAAAACTCCTCCGGAGGTAATTTAGGAGCCCCAATCCCCCAGCTGAGGAAAGATCAGCATTCCTGGATGAGGCCTCCTGTATATAACCACTGCACATTTCTACCTGCAAGCAGTCAGCGTGATACCCACTTCTAATCATTTTTAACCCAATAAAAACAGTTCTGAGCTTTCTCCACTCGCCCAGCACAACACTTACCCTCCTTCTCTGGCCCCAAGCCGCGACAAGTCGTCATCGCTGTCGTAGCGCCTTGGATTGTCGAAGAAGTAGGCTCTGGAGCTGTAACTGTGACTATTGACCATTCCTGCTGGAGTCTGTGACAGGAAAAAAAAGGCCAGGAGTGAGATTTCTGACAGCCTTCCTAGAGTTCTGCTCCCAAAACAGGAGGTGTTGAGCCTCAGCAGCTCACCCCGACCTACCAGGTTCTGACTCAGTCTCTGAGCCCGGAAGAACAGCACCACGAAGGTTGTTGGCACCAGCTCCCAGAGAAAGAGGACCACTCCGAACACGACATATTCTTCGCTGCTCACTTCCATGTGCACCTGTGGAAGGAAGTTGGAGGTCTCTAAATTCTTAGCTGTCAGAGCTACACGGCTCCCGGAGCTGGGCACAGCTCAGGGTAACTGCAAATGCGGTGAGATCCTGATGAAAACTTATTCCGAGCCTGATGATCCTTATTAAACATTGCTCCTCTGCTCTAGCTGACTTGTTCCTCCTCTCCCCCAAAAGAAGAGTTAGATTGAAATTGATGATAACAGAATCCCTCCTGAAGTAGGGAGGTTGAGGAAGTTTCAGGCTTTCCCCAGTGGAGAGAACAAGCAGGGCTTTAGAACACAGAAATCCAGCTTATCTGGGGATTCAGAGGAACACACACCCCCATGTAATATCCTTTTCCCCTACACATGCCCCCACGGGAGCCCTTTCACCTTGCTCCTAGCTCTGGACTCGGGGTGACAGACTTACCTTATCAGAAAGGTTGTCCCAGCCATAATTAAATGGCCCAGGAACACTGTCTGGAGATATGGCCACAGCTACCAGGTTATAGCAAGCCCTTGAGGAATACAGAAGAGCGACTACAGAGCCCACAAGAATAGCTTGGCAGACAGATGTTCCCTGGAACAGAAAGGAAAAAGCAGCTTTAAGACAAACCTTCCTACAGAGCTTGGATTTCCCCCATTTAAATACACGAGAAGCTGCGCAGGCAAGAATGACCTAGAACATTTGTATGTTGCTAAAATATTCAGAGCTGGTTAAGAGCTTCCTCATGTGATGAGTTCACTGGAGTAGCAGGAAAGGCTCAAGGCACAGGAGCATCATCCCCAGGGTTTTACTGACCAGCAGAATTGTTTGTCAGCTCCAAACCGGTGGTCCAGAGATGGCCCCACACCCACTGCCTTCCTCTGGCAGCCTCCCCAAGGCCAGCCAACAGCCACCAAGCAGATCTTGCTGCTTTTAACATCCTCAGCAGGCCCAGACTTTGCTCCTTGGAAGAATCATTTTGAAGGTGTTAGAAACCTCCACCAGGCAGTCCAGCTGGGTACTCAGAAGAAGCAGGCTTCTCCATAGCATGCTGTACAAGAGCAAGGCCCTACAGGCAGCCCCAGGCATGGAACTAGAGGAAGTTTCCACGTCCACAATCTTCTGAGGAGGGCTTGATAAGTTAATTAATGCCCAGAGCCAGTTAGAGCTGGATGCCTGGGTTAAGTGAGCAAGGATTTGAGGAGGCTGGCAGCTTAGCATTGCCTGCTGCAAGAAGTTTATCACCTTTCTCCTGTTCCTGAGGAGGAAAGCATCCAACAGGGTTCACAAGCCCCATACTTTGGGTAACCTCCCTCCTGAGGAAGGCATGGCAGTGCTTTAAACCCCCAGATTCACCCGAGTACATGCTGGGAAGGTCTCTGAGGAGTCCCTCTGACACCTGGAAGGACAGAAGGGCTCAGAGCACACGAGGCGAGGCGCTGCATTACTGTGAAAGCAGCAGTTCAAAAATATCCGAGCCAGGCAGCTGACTTCCTTCTGCACCTGACTGCTCCCAGATCCTACAGTTTGCCCTAGAGCTGCTTCCAGGCTGATCAGGAGACTGCTGCCTGCCCTTCTCACCAGGCAGGGGGAAATCAAAATCACTGCCTTTGATAGGGGTGAGGGCTTTTCAGAGGAAGAAATTGGGGAAGAGCTCTCAGGTGCATGCTTAATTGCAGCCTGCTGCCCCACTCAGGTGAAGCTGCTGTTACACATGTCAGAGCTATCAGTACTTGACTGTGCTTCGTGGCAATACACTGCAGGAACTACATCTTACTTCTTAGAGAACTCTCTCTTCCAAATTTAAATCCCAAAATTAAACTAAAAATTGAGTTCTGAAGTTAAACCTCTAAAACTGAGAAGCACGAGCAGCTCCTAAGCCTCCTGTTGTGCCAGCAAAACTGCAGGCACCTTCCCCTAAAACACGCAGGGCACATTATCCCTGTAGCAGGAGCACATCACTCTGGAGAGAGGAGCCCGGGGCAGTCCACGAGGCTTTTCCCTACCTTGGACTCGAGGTAGACGTTTGCTGAAGACATCTTTCCCAGTTTGCACATGCAGCAAGCCAGGGAGATTGCACAGAGGATGAAGAGGCTGTCATTGACCAGGGCACGGGCGAGGACCGTCCACCTCAGCTGGTCCTGCGGGACCTCCCCGTGGATTAGCATTGCACAAGTCAGGTTCACAACGAGGAAGAGGAGGCTGGTGAGGATGGAGCCCAGATATAAGAGGACCCTGGAGAGAAGATGGGGAAAAAAAACAGTTAAATCACATGGTTTTGGAGTCATACTTCACAATCCTTCAGTCTCATCAGGAGGGAACAAGCAGAACTCGAGGCATGCTACGAAATTTGGGCATTCCAGGAAGTTCCAGTGGTTGTACTGACAGCCCAGGTCTGCAGAGTATTTATTTGTCTGAGCTGCTCTCCTACAGCACGAGCTGTGTGAGTGGCCATGAGTTACCAGGCTCATCTTCTGACAGTCAGGCTCTTATCTTGCAGATTTTAAGTGTCGCTCGAGCTCTGCATTAACTTCAGTCGATACTTTCTGAGTCATCACAACCACTGCAGCTTTGAAAGCCACTGGAGCTTGCCTTTTCCACCATGGGATTACCTGGAAAAGGCCAGGAAGCACCTGGGCTGCACAGAAGTGTACCACCTTTTGCTCAAACACCTCTCTTGGAGGTGGGACAGCTCAGGAGGACCTTGAGAGTTCCCCTAGCTTGCTATCAGCACCCACACCGGGATGCTGATGGCACACGGAGGCATGCAGCACACATTTCACCTTCCTTGGCATCCTTGGAGCTCACATTCCTGCTCCAAGGAGCAACACTGACCCTCTGTCAGAGCACAGCCGGGTAAGGTGTTAGCTCTGTTCAGTTTTTGGGGTCCAAAGCCCCCATTCCTCATGCCACAGGCTTAATTCACCTTAAGCAGCCTCTAAAAAAATTATATTAAAGTACCACTTACTTGTACTTGTTGAATTCAGCTGCACATTTCACTTTGAATATGACCTAGGGGGGAAAAAAAATTGCAGAGCATTACTGAACGTGCCCTACAGCTCTCCTTTAAGCTTGGTGATGATGGATACAACAGGAGCCACCATCCAGCTGGGGATCTTGAAGGACCACGGCACCTCTTAGCACAAAATCTTGCTTTGTACCCACTGCAAAAGAGACTTGCAAGGTGTCTGATGGGCACGGACACCGAATATCCCATAGGTGTGGTGTTGGAAACCTTGTCACTAAGGACTCAAGGGAATAATTTTATGGATTTCAGTGAAATCAAGCATGATTGAGCTCCTGTTGGAGAAGACCACCTCAGCAAGACAAATAATGGATCCAAACCAGCCCAGTGGTGTCCTGGAGGCTGTAAGAGACACGCAGAGCTCTCAGCTCCTCCACCCTGCAGATATTTGGAGGCCAAACACGCCTGAGAAGTAACTCAGAGGGAAGAAGCCCTCCAGAGGTGGAAGGCCCAGCTTTTTGAGGTGTGTGGCACCTGGTGACAGCGATCTGCAGCCCACAGCACTCCCCAGAGCACCAAACACTCTGTCCAAAAGGGAATCAGCGCTGCCATCCTTCCCCACACCCCAGGGACCTGCGGGGTCACACTCAGCTTCACAGCTCGTGTCCTGAGGACTGGCATCCTGAAGGAACTGGGGAGGACAGAGCCTCTGAGGCAGATCCAGGGTTCAGCACAGATCTCAGCAAGTGCAGAGGTTTGGTTCCACTTCTTCCAGGAGCTCTCCCTGTCACCTCCCAGGCTGCAGCTGCAGGGAAGGATCACTCACCCGTCCCTCACAAGGCACTCAGCTGTTCCTCCTGCTGGGATTTCAGCACCACAAAGCTTCTGGAATCAGGCTCCTGCCACCAGGATCCCCAGCAACACTCCGGGACCTGAGGGCTGTCTGTTCCATTATGATTGTTTCGAGCATTTGAAGTCATTCCTACAGGAATTGGACAGCTTCAGACCCTGTGCCAAGTACTCCAAGCAGTTCCCAAAGCCCTCTGCCCCATTGTTGAGGCTTGCACCAGTCAGAAGCACAAAGTGATGCACACAGAGCCCATCCAAGAGGAAACCTGAGCCTTGGAAGGAGAAGCACAGTCACTTTGAGACAGAAATCCCCAAATCCTCCATCCTTGCCTTCCCTGTAGGCTGCATCCAATTGCTTTGGGAGCATCAGGACAGCCAGCCAGGAAGCCTCTTGGTCTGGCACACAGCTGTGCAGCACGGAAATCCAGTTCAGATACTGGTGCCAGGGCTCTGACTCCCAAAAGAGCAGCCCACAGCCACAGCCTCTGCTAGCAGCAAGCCCCCAGACAGACAGGGGAAGGCCACAGGGCAGCAGAAGGGAGGTGCTGGCTCCAGCAGCTCCTCATCTCTGCCCTCTGAGTGCAAATAGAGTCCTGGCTGGACAGCTGCAGTACCAGCCTCGGGTTTTTCTTAGCTATTTAGCCTCAACACCAACCTACAGATGCTCCTCTGCTTGATCGTGGTGCATCCAGCCACAAGAGACCTGAAAGAGGCAGAAACTTATCATTTCCTGGTGGAATCAGCCTCAACCAGCACCTACGGTCACCTCCTGGCTGCTGACACAGCCACCCGAGCACAGGAACCAGCTCCAGGACGGAGCATTTTGAGGCTGTGACCCCTCAGCAGCTGCCCCCAGCGAGGACAAACATCTCCCAGGCTGGATGCTCTCCCCATGCCTGTCTGCTCCAGAGCAATTAGAGGAGCTGGGATGAAAGAGGCTGATGTCATCCCGCCCGATGGAGCACTCAGACCCAGACAGGTGAAGGGTTAGGGCCACGCCAGTCTGGCGGAGCAGCCCCGAGCAGAGCCCTTACTCATCGCTGTGCACGGCTGCCGACTCCCAGGCCAGGCAGTGATGCCAAAAAGGTCTTGGAAAGGGTCAGGACGAGGTTGCTGTGGCTGCATTTATGGATGCTGGCTCCTGGTGATGACCTGGGGGCAGCAGCAGCTGGCAGGCTCTTGGGAGAGGCGGTGATGCTCCAGCAGATGCCCGGCTGGCAGCAGAGGAGCTCTTCCAAACAGGGCTGGGAGCGTCCTGGGCGTCCTTCTGCCTGCTGGGAGCAGGGCTGAGGAATTCTGACAGACCCTGATCTCAAGGAGCTCCATAAATCGAGCGAGATCAGCGCAAACAGCGCAGCACAGGCCCCGTTTTCCTTCCCTGCTTCGACAGATGCCATTCCTCCGGCACCCCCACAAAGGCAGCACTGTGAGCAGGGACAATCGGCCATGCCTCCGGCACAAAAGCAGCCTCAGCTTTTATCTGAGGGCATTTCAACCAGGGACAGCAGCCCCAGAGCAGGGCCAGCCCAGTGCTCCCCTACAGGTTGCTGCCAGCTGGCCTGAGAGAGCTGGGAACTGCTGGGCCCTCTGAGCACCTCCTGCCTGAAGCCACCTGAGCAGATCTCTAAATCCTCAGCCTGTTTCCACAGCAGCTTCTTACTTTTTTCACTTGCTTGCTCCTCCTGAGCTTTAAGGAAAAAAAAAAGAATACATCCAAGCTGGCAGAAAGGTGCCATGTGTCGGTAGCTAAGAGGATGGGCTAGTTTTATCAGCCTGCTCTCCAAGCAAAGGAGAACAAAATCACCATTTTTTTGGTTAAAATGGAAGCCAGAAGAGCACCAAAGGTCCATCGAGGTGGATTTTCTCCAAATCCCACAAGCTCTGGCTTTCACCACCGTGAGATCACTCCAAGACACGACGTGCTGGCCACCCGTGCTGCTCGGGGCAGCCAAGTGTCAGGCCCTGCTCTGTGGGGAAGCATGCACACCCATTAAAATAAGTCACTTTATCCTTTTCCCCACTCTGGATGCTGAGCTCCTATTTCCTCAGACAGGATTTCCCTTGGCTCTAGGTCTGCAAGGAGACAGAAGCAGGGCATACCCAGCCAGAGTCCACTGCAAAACAGCCACCACAGCAGGAAGGGAGCCTGCCTGAACTCATTTGCCTTTCGTTAAGGGAGCTTTTTAATGAGCCTGCGAGGTGGTAAACCTGCTGTCAAGTCCAGCAGCCTCACGGGAAACAGAAATCCAGCCACTTTGGGGCAACAGAGCTCGGGATCTCCTGCTGAGCTTGCCTCCTAAGGGACACACAAACACCTACCAGATAGAAAAACAGGGTAGCTCAGGCTCCCTTCAATTTAAAGACGGATTATAGACATTATATCCTAAATATTATGCAGCATTTCTTATTCTGCTGGCACTCGACAGGCAACGCATCCGATACTGGCAGAATTACACCAGCTTCCAGGTGTTTGTGCCGGGCAGGGAAGCACCCACACAGCTGAGCAACCCCACGGCCCCAAGCCTTGTGGTATCGTGTGAGTGCAGACATCCTATGGAACGTGAAATAATCCCCACCGGTGAGGCATCGGAGCGGCTTCGCTGCCTGTGAGCGATTCCTTTGTGAGGCTGCGGGGTCTGAGCAGCAGCGACGGAGCTGGAAGGAAAAAAAGTGCTGCCTGTTTACGAAGCGAGTCCCCGAACCGGGAGGCTGCTGGCGAGAAACTGGAGCAGAAGGGAAATATTCAGAGGGGGAAGGGAGCAAAAGGAGGGGTCGGGGGGTGAATAAAACCAAGCTGAAGGGGGATAAAACACAAAACAAGCGATGGGGGAACACAGGGGAGGAGGGACACGGATCAGCACCAAAAACAAGCGGCTCAGCGCCGTCCTGGGGGTGTTGTTGTGCCGGGAAGGGGTTCAGCTCCACAGCCCAGGCTGTTATGGGGAGAAGCAGAGGGGTTTTAGGGTTTTTGTGAGGCACCAAAGGGCACAGAAAGGAGCGGGGCTGGCGGCGGCGAGGGGCCGGAGGGAGCGCAGCAACAATAGCAGAAGAGGCTCCGGGCTGGTGACGTAATGCTTGGCGGCCCTCCAGGCCCCTGCTGCTTGCTGCTGCCACTTCCCGGGCCCTTAGCAGGAGAGAAATCAATGAGAAATTAGAGAAAAAAAAGGTTAAAAAAAAAAAGCCTCGTGAAGGGACCCACGGCGCTGCCACCCCCACACAGGGAGTGGAGCCTGAGGGGGGCAGGGGGCACCCTGTGTGTGTGTGGGGGCTGCCCCTCAACCCCTCCCCACCTCAGCACTCAGGCCACGACCCCATAACCTCCCATTTTTCCCCCAAAACCCCCATTTCCCCAAAAACCCTCATTTTCCCCTCAAAAACCCTCATTTTTCCCTCAAAAACCCCTCCAAGCAGGGTTTTCAAGCCACCAGGCGCCCCTCCTCCCCCCTCGCCCCCCCACAAGCCCTAAAAACGCGAGAAAGCCCCTGAACTAAAAAAAAATCACCTCAGCGAAGTAGAGCGTGAGGAGGCAGAGGCTGCAGAAGAGCAGGCAGCCGGGCAGGCAGTGCAGCAGCCAGTGGGCGAAGGGCTGCGGGAGCCGGAGGGCCCTGGGGGAGCCCTGCAGGCAGAAGGAGAAGAGCGTGGTCCTGAGGGCGGCCCAGAGGAGGCCGAGGAAGAGGCAGAGGGTGCGGTAGCTCAGCCGCCGCTGCCGGTAGTAGAGGAGCAGCCAGAGCTGCAGGTAGGCGAAGAGGAAGAGGGAGGCGCACAGCGCCGTGTGGACGGCCGTCAGCCCCAGCTCCACGCCGGACACCGTCGCCGTCGCCTCCACCGCCACCACCGGGGCCGGCCCCTCAGAGGGGGCCGCCGGGGGGTTCATAAGGAGCGGGGGGGAGGCGGCACCGAGCCCGCGGGCACCGCCATGGAGCTGCTGACACACGCGCAGCGCGGAACCCTCCCCGCCGCGCTGCCCGCCCGCCCTCTCTCCGCCAAGCGAGTGAGGAGCGCCGGTATTTGAGGGGGTGGCTGGAGGCAGAGCGCGCTCCCCATTGGTTCTTCCTGGATCTAGCCCCGCCCACCGAGCGCAAAGAGGAGCGGGGATTGGTCAGCGCTGCCTGTCACTCTCCGCTAGGCCACGCCCTCCCGCTCGCCGGCCTCTGGCAGCGCTGAGCTTCGCCCCCGCCCCCCTGGGGGAGGGGCCTGAGGGGGGTTCGCGGCTCTGATTGGTTGCGGGAGATGAGGGGGCGTGGCCGGGCCTTTCGCGGCGGCGCGAAGGGTCCTGGCAGGTTGAAGGGGGGTCCGCTAGGGTCCTGGCAGGTTAAAGGGGCCCCATAGCAACAGGGCTGGGTCCTGGCAGGTTGAGGGGGTCCCGTAGGGTCCTGGCAGGTTGAGGGGGCTCCTAAGGTCCTGGAAGGTTGAGGGGTCCCCTAAGGTCCTGGAAGGTTGAGGGGTGCCCCAGCAGCAGGGCAGCTGGGGGGGCAGGTTGGGTGGCCACCATGGGGGGGGCTTGGGGTACGTCGCTTGGAGTCCCCTCCGTGTCCTCATCCCCTACGCTGAGACCCCTGAGGCTCCGATCCGTCACCTCACAGCGAGCTGCGGCACGGGAACCCTGCCTGCGTGCTCCCCGCGGGGGACGAGGGACGAGGGAGCAGCGGCGCCTACACGCTGGGCACCCAGGTAGGTGACAGTGACATCCCAGGTAGGTGACACCCCAAGTAGGTGACAGTGACACCCCGGGTAGGTGAGACCCCAAGTAGGTGACATCCTGGGTAGGTGACAGTGACACCCCGGGTAGGTGACATCCTGGGTAGGTGACATCCCAGGTAGGTGACACCCCAAGTAGGTGACATCCCAGGTAGGTGACAGTGGCACCCCAAGTAGGTGACATCCAGGTGGTGACACCCCAGGTAGTGATAGTGGCAACCAAGTAGGTGACATCCCAGGTGGGTGACAGTAACACCCCAAGTAGGTGACACCCTAGGTAGGTGACATCCCTGGGTAGGTGACATCCTGGGTAGGTGACAACATCCCCAAGGTAGGTGACAGGTAGGTGACATCCCCAAGTAGGTGACAGTGACCCCAGGTAGGTGACATCCCAAGTAGGTGACCCCCCAGGTAGGTGACAGTGACACCCCGGGTAGGTGACATCCAGGGTAGGTGACACCTCGGGTAGGTGACATCCCCAAGTAGGTGACCCCCTAGGGTAGGTGACACCCCAGGTAGGTGACAGTGCCACCCCTGAGCCAGCTCGGGATCGTCCATCAGCGATACCATCCACCATCATGGGGCCAGCTGCCCCACAGGGGCTTTGGGGACAAGGAGGGTGCCGGGTCACACCGTGAGCTGTTGGCCGTGCAGTGCCATGGGACGGCTCTGCCCCGTTGGGAGGCTGCGGCGTGTCCTCCGGGGTGCTGGGAGGTGGGGGCTGAAAGTGAAAAAAACTCAGGGAAATGAGTTTTATTTTTATATTATCCTGAAGGGCCCTTTCTGGGGTCCCCAGCAGGAAAGGGGGATCCCATGGCAGGGGGGCAGCACGGGCAGTGAGACAAAGCACGCTGGAGAACAGGCTGGGATTTTATTTAATTTTAACATTTCCCAGCCTGTTGAGGACCCTCGAGAAGCCAAAAAGGTTCCTAGTGCCAAAAAACAGCTCCTGTAGGTCACGGTAGCCTCGCTTTTGGGCACCCTCACCCCCTTATTCCAGCCCCGTATCTCATATGCTCACACCAGGGCCTCCCCTGGTGTGGGATCCAAAATCGCAGAGCATGGGGGAGGCAACAGGGACACTGGGGGAAGTGTCAGCGTGCCGGAGAGGAGCCCCGTTATCTCATGCCTTGGTGTGCCAGATGTGCCTCCAGTCCCCTGAGCTGTGCTGGCGCTGGTCCGCGTGGCGGAGGGGTTGCAAAGCAGCATACAGCCTCCCGAAAATGCTGCTGGTGAAAAGGGGGTTTGTCTGCGCACGAAAAATCTGTGAGCACTCAGCTTTGAAGCAGGGATTGGGGACAAATAGTGGATAAACAGCGCTGCGGTGAGGCTCTGCCTGCCCTCCGAGTGCATGAGCTCGTTGTTCCAGCAAAAGCGTGTAGTGATAATTAACCTTAGACTCGTCAGCTGATTAGGAGAAGGCTCGTGCTGGCCACTTTTTCGAGGGAGGGCAGGGAAGAGAAGATTGTGGTGAAAAATATGTAAAGCAGCGGAAGATGCAATATCGCTGCCCAGCTATAGGATTCCACAAAACCAACGCATAAAAAGACAAAAAAAAGACAAAAAGACTGAAATATTTTGCTTATTGACATCAGCAGCATTTCAACAGCTGTCAGCAGTATATGTCACCAGTTGTCAGGCATTTCACGAGGAGTTTGTGTGGTCTTTTGATGAATTAAAGACTCGCAGGACAGCCCAGGCCCTGGTCAGCAAAGTGGCTGTGGGCTGATGGTTTCCAGATGCACTTTAGTGGGATCCCAAGGGTGCTTTCTGTGCCTGTGATGAACCAATTTATTGTCTTCTTGGGTGAAAACAGGCTTGCAGACAGTACACCTGTTGGGACAGCCTCTGCGTTAGGACAAGCTAGCTGCAGGCCGACGTGCTGCTTTAGGAAAGGCCGGGCAGTCAGGTGTGTCCTGTGGGATTCTTGTGTGATTTGGGGAGCAGGAGGCTGAAACAAAGAGGATATTCTGTGAGTTTTCTGGATCCCCTAAAGAAATCCTGTGTGCACAGTCCAAAGTGCAGGATGAGCCCCGGGGCTGGCTGGCCGACGTTATGCTCTCCCTTGCGTTTTTCAGCAGCGTGCATATTTGTTCTGGGGCATCCAGCCATGCCAGGGCGGGTGCCACAGGCCATTTTTGCCTGCTCTAGCTCACGGGTTGAGTCAGCCCGGTGTGGATTTGGGGCTCTTGTGTGTCCCCACTGCCGGCCAGGTTTGGAGGGCTTCGCACTGGTTAGCTGCTGCTTGGGGGGGCAGGACAGGCAGGGAGGCCTGGCTGCCAAAAACACAAAGCTTCTGGGTGCAAAGTGAACGTCCTGCTGCAACAAAAGGCTGGATCTGTAGTGATCGTCACAGGAAAGGCCGTGGTGGCTCTGTTATCCTTTAGGAGCATATTCCTAGGGAGTAAAAACTTGCTGGCTGGGGGCTCTGCAGCCTGGAAAATGCTGGTACAATGAGGTAAAACGAAGATGAAGCAGTAGTGTAATATATTCAGACCACTCAGGATTCCCAGGCTGAACCCAGAAATATCATTTGGCCAAGCTTTTCTTCGTGTTCTCCACAGGGGTTTTCTCCCCGTGCCCAGCAGAGCAGTTCCAGTGCTCCACCATGAAGCCTGGGGTGCTTCGAGGACTGCTTGTCGTCCCCTGGTGGGGTCGGGTCCCTGGGACAGCTGGGTGTGCTCAGACTTGATTTTGTCTGTAATAAAATACCCAAAGCTCCAGACTTGTTGGGAGGAAGCCCTTAAATCTGGTTTCAGTACGTGTTGGTGGGAAGGCAGAGCAGGCCAGTGACTGCACCTCTGGGGTGAGGCCTGGCTTTATCGGGGGTTAAGAGATGTGCCCAAGGGCCTTACAAGTGATTTTAGGGGCAAAATGGGAGGTGGAAGGAGGAGGACACAGGCTGGCAGGAAGGATATGAGCAAAGGGGATGGGATCGCTGCCAGATTTCCAGCTGGGCAAGTGGATGGTGTTGTAATAGCGAGGCTGAAGGAACAGACAACAGACTGACAACAAATTCTCCTGCCTCGAACAGTGACTGGAGACGTGTTTGCAAGGTTACCAGCTTGGACACGTTTATGGGGCCTGATTCACGAAGAAAATCCTAAATACCAGGTGCTCCAAGTCTCCCTGGATCATGGGTGATAAACCTCGCCTCCCGTTCTGTCTCTGTGCCTCCAGGGAGTGCTCCTGGAGCTCCTTTGTATACCTCCAAGACTGGCACATCGCTGTGGGGAGCCAGAGACTGGGGCTGGGAGGAACAGAGGAGCTGGAGGGTGGGAAATTCAGGTTCAAGAAGGAGGAGGAGGAGAGGGATCAGCAGAGGTTGATGTGGCCCAGAGGAAAGCCCCTGGGCAGGAAGGAGTAACGGGGAGGTGAGAGGACACGAATGGGGATGGGATGAGCAAATATGAGCACGTTTTTGGGAGTGAACAGCCAGAAAAGTGTGGGATGTGTGTGTGCTGGGGGGGTGGGACGGCGAGGGACTGTAGTGGGGCAGATGGGACTGGCTCTGGGAAACAGTGTAAGGAAGCACCAGAGACTTTCAGGTGAAAAGGTTGCATTGCTTCCTCAGCGTTGTATTTATGCCTTCGTGCTGCTAAAGCCTCATCCAAACCCCTCATGTACATGGGGGGGGAGAGAAGGGAGCCTGTGAAGGCTGAGCGTGCCTGGCTTTCCCCAGCTGCCTGCTCTCGGAGCAAGGCTGAGGGACTTTGCTTGTTTTCAGGCATTTGAGTTTGGGCTCGTAACGGGGCAGCGATAACGAGCTGACAGCATCTGACACGGTGCTGGGGGGAATGACAGTCCATGTACACAGGGGCATTTGTTAAGGAAAGCAGCTGCAGCTCGGAATGCAAAGCAAACATGTTCTTGGTGGCTTGAATCCCAGCTTTGTCTCGTTGTTGGCCAGGGACGTTGTTGACCAGCCCTGCTGCAGGGCACTCAGCAGCAAAGCTGGGTACCTGAAGGGCAGGCTGCAGCAGAACCTGGTTTTAAAGAGGGGAATTAAATGACAAAAAGATGTTTTCTCATCTTCGTTTGATTCCAAAATAAAAAAATAAAAAAAAAGGAGGGAAGAAAAACAGCCCTAAATTGAAAGCACAGAGGGTACATGTGCTTGCAGATACCACTCAGGGGAAAGGGAATGGCCTTTGCTGTCATTTTCATGGTTGTGTGGATCACCTGCTGCTCGAGTAACTAGTTCGTGATGTCCTCAAGGTGTTTGTGTAGCTGTCACATCTATAAATTAGTCGTGCTGCACCTACCTAAACAGAAAACACTCATATATATGTGTTTTTGGTTTTTTTTGTTGTTTTTTTTTTGTTATTTATTTGTTTTTTGTTTGTTTGTCTTTGCAGTTGTGGCTCTCCCGTGCCTGTTACTAACAGTAACCATGCCAGCCCAGAAGGACAGATGGTTTCCTTCCTTCTCATTCCTGCTCTTCTGCGCTTACTTCATTCCGATGCTGGGAAGTACGAGTCTGCTACAGGAGCTGAGCCCCCAGGAGTATTTCGGTGGCTTGCAAGCTGGCAGGGCGTCCCTGGCTTACTTCAGCCCTAACGGTACGTATTCAACAGCATGCACATCAGCTGGGTTTGCAGGAGACTCGTGTCAGGGTGTGTATGGAAGTGGAATAACGAGGAGACAATTCTGAGTACTTTAAACCCAGAGCTGTTTTGAAGAGCTGGTCAAGCCCAGCTGGCAAATTGGGGTTTGCATAGCTCCTGAGTGCCCTTGGCAGGTGGAAGTGTCTTGGGGTGGCATCTGTCCTGGTTGTGTCCCTAAACACTCTCCTTCCAGCCTCTTCATTACTTTTCCAGATGCCCTGTAAGGAGCTACCCCCTGAAAGGTGCCGTGTTTCTTTCCCACAGGACGTCCCAATGTAATTACAAGGAGATCCATCACCTTTTCCTTCTTGTTCTGCTCCCCCATGACCCCCAGGCATGGTTTCTCAGAGACCTGGATGTGGGCTGAGGAACCCATGAACACTGGATGTGTTAGGAAGGAAGGTGGGGAGCTATCAAAAATAAAGCTGTGGTGGCTTTAGTGAAGGGGAGGACAGAAATCCAGCTGGATTCAGGGATCATCCATAAGATACAGCGACACTGATGCCCACCTTCCCCCTTGTCACAGCTAGCTCAAGAATTTGGTGACCCCCAGTCCCAGGGCAGTGAATTACTCCCAGCAAGGCTAGCAGAGCCTGGCCCAGGGAGAAAAGGTGTTGTTCTGCTCTCCTGCTGCCTTGTCTGCAAGAGGAAGGGATTGAAACCAGCTTTTTTTTTGCTGTTTTAGTTTCTCCTGGTGCCCAGCCCTTCTTGGAACAGATTGAGAACTCAGTCGAGGCTCTGCAGGACTATGGCATTTCGGTGGTGAAGGTAAATGAGGACAAGGAGTTGGGCAGGGTATTTCTGTAGGGCTGACTGTGGGGTGGACAGAGGTTGTCTCTGCTGACCTTGGTGATGGACAGCAGTGGGACCCCGCAGGAAAGGGGGTGCTGGCTGCACAGGGCATCCCATTTTTCTCTTGACCCAGTTTGTGGTAACCACAGCACACTGCTGTGAAACAAAAGCATCACACCCGCTTGGGGGTCGTGTCACACCTTCTGCCTGTGGGATGGGGCAGATTCCTGTATCCAGGGAGGACTTTACGTTGTCCACACTTCAAACAGAGCTTTGATTTGCATTCGTGGGTTTAGGAGATATTTAACTTCTCATCTTTTTCTTGAAAATTGTCCCTTTTCATGGGAAACCTCATGGGCCAGGCTTGGCTGGCTGATCTAATCTGACCTCCCAGGCAGCTGCATATGGTTTGTGGCATTGCCTGGTTACTGATGTGTGCCCCTAAGCACGGTGCAAGGAAGGATATGATCCCTGCTGTGTTGCACAAAAGAGCATCAGCCTGCTGCTTCACGCAGGGCATGGAACTTGCCTGACCCCATCTCGCCTTGTGCACTGGAAGAGGCTCAGACTGAAGAATGTTGGCGGGGGTCAGTTCATTTCTTTTCAATACTGTGCAATTAATGCTAAATAGGATGCGTTATTTTAAATTTTTTTGGCTGAATTTTTCTGCAGATGTAGGTGAGTGAATTACAGATTCATGCAAATGCAATTAGATTTTATAAGACGTGTTTATATATATGTGTGTGTGTGTGTTTCAATTCCTCCAGATGCAGACTGAGTTCAGTAAGCAAGCAGTGGTCTGTCACTTCGAACATGCTTGGCAGATCACAAGATCTCTTAATCCTGTCTGACCCAAATCAAGGCAGGCTTGAGCTGGGGAACTGAAATACCAGCTCCAGTCCGCAGCACTGCACTCTGTTCATCTCACTGTGTGATTGTATTTTCTCTCCCAACAGTTTTGGAAAGGCTGGCACTTATATCCTGGGATGGGAGAATGCTGTGGTACTGTGTGTTTGTAGACATTTGTAAAGCTGGATGTCCAATAAATACTTTTAATTCCAGGTTAACTGTCCCAAAGAGGATGTCTCAAGATACTGTGGCAAAGAAAATGCATTAAGGAAAGCCTACCTGTTCAGGTAAGGGGGGGCTTTCTGGGCACCACGCTGTAATTGCTTTGAAGTACAAAGGTTTGAAATGCTGTCAGGGAGCAGAGATGTCTGCATAGGAAGCATGGGGTCATGAGGACAGTAGTGCCATACAGATTTTAACAAAAAATACCCCAAAAAGGTTCCACACATGCAAAGCAGATGCCTTGTCCTCAGTGTGAAAACCCCTGTCCTGCCCCACATTCCTTTTTATCAGCACAGAGCTGTTCTGCTACATGAAACCATCAAAGACATCAGTCAGCCCCTCTGGGCTCCCACCACCAGGTCCCCAGGACTACAGTCAATGCACTACGTTCTGGATCTGCTCCTAGAAAGAAACACTCCTTGGTTCCCCTCCTGTTGTTGTGGTTGGCTCACCATGCAGGTTTAGCTCTTGGTCTCTGCGTGGACTGTCAGCTGGAAGCTTTTCCACATATCAGGTAGAGGGCTTTGTCAAAACAAATGTGCTCTGTTCTCATTGATTATAATATATGACAGAGGAGACCTTTTATCAGGGAGACCCTGCTAGTCCTAGGAACTCCCCAAGTTCAGCCCTGACATCTTCCTTCCAGCCATACCTGCCAGCAGACACCTGGAGACATCACTGAGTAGAAATGAATTTAATATGTGTTGCTAATCTTTCACAGTTTCTTTGCTGATATTTTTTCTTCTCTCCCCAGAGGGAACATGCTGATCAGAGAATTTCCTACTGATGCCTTGTTTGACGTGAACTCCATCGTTGCTAATGTTCTGTTGTAAGTACAGACCAGATCCCATCTCTGTGAAATTGTTTGTTTTTCGTTTTCACGTGTCGATAGAAAAGTTTGCATAAATATAAACTGCACCAGAGGCTGTTTTCAGCCAAGCAGAAGGATCCTTCTCTCTTTGGGATGGTTTGACCCTGTTAAATCTGTGCCCTGGACATGACTTACCAGCACGTATCTGTATTTGTCTGTGAATCTTGCATCTGCCAGCAAGAAGCTGGAGTTTCACCTTTGTTTTTTTCTTTTCCATCGTGATTATGTGGCTGCAAATTCTCTCTTAAAAGAAAGCAGTTGCTAATGAGTTTTCTGGCTTCTCAGTGCCCTGCTCTTTAATGAAGTTAAATACGTCGAAACACTGACGGATCTTCAGAACATAGAAAATGCACTGAAAGGGAAGTCGAACATGGTCTTCGCATATGTACCAGCTACTGGAACTGCAGGTATTAACACCCAGCTTTTCTTCTTTGCTCACCCCCAGAGCCTTTTTTTACTAATGTGGAAGGGAGCTTGTTTTATGACTCAGAATCCTGGAAATGGAGAATTGAAGACATGTGAAAAGGCCACCCAAACACGAGCTCTCTATCTTGCCTTGTTGCTAAATGAATCAGTTTGGCCAAGATGGTTTTGCTGGGAGCACACAAGCTTTCAGAGATGGACAGGACAGAGAAAGCAAGCCAGTGGTTACTGCCTGAATAAATAAACCCATTGGCAGATCTCTACTATAGATATGTAGCAGAATGCTTTCACCTGCCCCACCTCTGTGTTTGCTGGAGATCAGCAGCTGGGTTCAGCCCGTGACTCGGTTATCTCCATAGCATGGCTTCAGCCCCTCGTGGAGTTTTACTGAGAGTTTCTGAAGGCCTGATGCTTGTCTTGATGCTTGTGAGTGGGAAGGATGAAGAGGGAGATCTGGACTGAGCTGCAGCAGTGAATTAGTCGCACCTTTCTCTCTGCAGAGCACAGAGCTGTGATGGAAGTGGCTTTTGTCTACGGGACTGTCCACCAGTTTGTTCTGACAACTGAGGCAACACTGTTGAAAGACACCAGGTATGTCCAAACACACACACCAACACACACACACCAGGTATATCTGCTCCCCTGCACTGCTCTTTTGGTTTCTCAGGTTCCCAGGTCAAATCTAGCATTGGCATCCTTGCTAGCTTGCACGGGAAAAAAATCAGTTTCACTAGAAGTGAACCTTGCAGCCTGTGTTTAAAGCATCCAAATGTTGCCAGGCCTGTAACGCACTAGTCTCACTGCTGGCTTCATGCTGAGCTAGAGAACAGATGATATCCAGTGAAAGATCAGCTTGGGGTCCTCCAGGATATTTAGGAATCTCCTTTCCAACCAGCTGGCAGTGTTGACCTTTCTCAGCCCCCTTGGATGTCAACAAGCTCAGGACCTACATATGTATTTTGCATCTCAAGGTAAAAGTCCACCCTAGGATGGTTATTAGGGTAACAGCCAAGGATAGATGGTGAGATCTGTTTTGCTTTTTCCAAAACCGATGCTGCTTGTGTTCCTGGGTTTGGACTAGCCATTGTTGACTGCTCATTCAATTGGATTTTGAAGGGGAAGAGCCTGACAGTGATCAGAGATCGCGTTTTTTGCTTGCCACTAGATGGCACGATTGTCATTTGGAGAGGACATGGCTTCATCCTACACAGAGCTGAGAGGGCACCAGCAGTAAGGCTTTGGGGTCTTAATACAACATCCTCTCTTCCACATTGAGATAGTAAAGCCCTTTACAAAAAAAAAAAAAAAAAAAAAAAAAGGTGATCCTTATGCTAGAGATGGTGTAATGGATGCATGGGGAAAAAAATGTGACCTCCCAAAGTTGACCCGCAGCCCAGCACCAGTGGTGGTACCAGAACCAGGAACCACCCCTAGCCAAGGAACCATCCAGGGAACTTGGTGTCACTTCTTCCTTTGTAACAGATAGAACCAATGCTGTTCAAAAGGTGAAATATTCCTTACATAGTACGTAAGATGTCATCAGGGAGGTAAAAGACACAAGTAAACCTGTATTTCACCTGTCCTCCCCAAGCCAGGGTCCCCATTGGAGTGGCAAGGCTGGTCCCAATGAGAAAAGCTTGGTTTTGTCCTTTTTGAGCTAAGCCAACTGCTCTGTGGTTGGGGTCATTCATACCAGGGTCTTCAGTAGACAGAGAGCATCGTTGTGAAAGGTGCCTGGCCACAACTCTACCTGGTACCAGTAGAGCTCTCAAAGTCCTATGTGCCAGTCACACCCTGAACTGGGAGAATATCTGCCCTGTAAAACCCTGCCAGCAAATACTGGCACTCTGTCAGGGTATTTTTAAGCCCCGTGATGGATCTCCAGCTCAGTGTGGGTTTTGTTTTCTCTCTCCCAGCAGCGATGAGCCTGATGCATCATCTGCCCGGCTCTTGTTCTGCCACTGCCAGCAGGCCACGGACGTGGCGCAGCCCTGCAGGAAGACACCCATGGAGCAGGATCTGACCGTGCTGAACATCCACAGGCACCTCAAACTCATGGGGGCTCCTCTTGTGGTACGATGGGGAGAGAGAAATGATGCACCAGGCTCGGGCTGTGCAGTGCGAGGGCAGCTGGGGCAGATGTGGGAATGAGGTGTGAACAGAGGATGAGGCAGAGAAGGGGAATCTGCCCCTTCCCCATGCTCCTAGGTTGAATTCAAGCAAAGAAAAGGTCTGAGACTGTGAGTAACACTCTATTATATTGCTGAGCTTACATGGACCTCCTTTTCAGGGGTGCCCAGGGCCAATCTGTGGTCCTGTGGTTGCACTTAAGCACAATGAACGGGAATGTGCTTCATTCAAAATGGGGTGGAGGTGCCTCTTTGACTTTGCTGCGACTTCTGGGCTCCCCACAGGAGGATCAGCACCTCAGGGAGACAAGATTCACGCCCTGGTGGGGCACAGGAGACAGGAGGCTCCTTTTCCCTTTTCCCACTGGGCAGAGGGGGCCTCCAGTTCCCCCTGGTGACAGCTCTGCCAAGCAGAAATGAAGTCTCTACGTCAGCCAGCCTCCTGGAGTAAGCCCGTGGAGGGAAGTACTTCATTAAGCAGCTCTGTGCTGTCATGAAACAACATGTCAGAGGCACAAAGGGAAAGGATGCCAGCTCTTGTGTGTGGCAGACAAGGTTTCCAAATTGCCCCGGGGCACAGCTGTCAGATAAATAGAAATTAATGGAAATCTGACATCAGGAGGTGCCAGGTCACAAAAAACATGAAGATATAAAGCTCAGATTTTCAACAGGGATGGTCCTGAAAGGTCGGAACAGTTTAACCAGGGTTGTAGGGGTTCTGCTTCAGTGGGTGTTTTAGAATCAGGGTGGAGGTATCTGGAAGGTATTTCTGGAAGGTATCCTTATTTCAGTGGCTGGGGAGAACACGATGGCTTGGGCTGTGCAGGAGATCTGCCTGCCAGGTTATCTATTGGCCTTAGAAACTGCAGGCTATGAACCCTCTCCTAGGCTCCAAATTTCAATGAGGAAGTTGTTCCAGGCTTTCAGTCTCACTTTCCAGCAATTTTTAAAGTGATGGTGATCTGGTGGTTGGTTTTCCAGCTGTTTTCCTCAGAAAAATGAGGCTTCTGTGCCTCCCTTTCCAATTACTTTTGAGCCTGTTGATCAATTTCAAAAATAAATTCAATGAAGTTCCATTGAAATAGGCAGCTGGCTGGAAAAGAGCTGAAATATACCAAATATGTGGAGATGTGCTGCAGTATAACCATGTATCTTTTCCAGACAGAGGTTGCTGAGGACCCAGAGAAGGTTTCCACTGTTCACTTACAGCTTGGGCTACCACTTGTGTTCATCCTCAGCCAGAAAGAGACCTACGAGGCAGACAGGAGAACAGCAGAGTTTTTGGCCTGGCAGCTCTTGGGGAAAGCAGGAGTCGCCCTTTTGTCCAGGTATTTGCTTCCCTGTGTTTGGGGAATTCTCCTTGGTTTTCATGGTGTTTCTGAGCTTGGTTTCCCCACAGCAAGGACAATGGGATCACAGTCAGTGGGTTTAGTGACTGTGATCCCATTTTTTCTGTGTGAGAAGCAGTAAGAGTATGTTAACATATGGTGAGAGGATGTCAAATTAGAGGGCATGATTCTCCAGAATCACTTAAAATTGGTTTCAGACTCTAGCTGGAAGTGTAGCCTCTATATTTGAGTCTCTTGCTGATTTAGAACTAGAAGAATAGTCAGACTGAAAGAAATTTCAGAAAGAAAACTTGGAAAGCACAGGCCAAGATCACAAAGATCAAAAGACCAAAAACCAGAGATCTTTTGAGGGCTTACTTGCCCATCTGTGCAGGTGATGTTTGAGCTGGAGCCGGGAGAGTGGGCAGCCCGTGACAAGTCAGGATCTCCCATTCCTGAGGGGCTGCCCCCTCCTAAATTTTGTGTGTCAGCGGGTGATGCAGCAGCTGTGGGTTGGGACCTTGATGTGGCATGTCTGCTCTGTGCCCATGCTGCTGGCAGCAGCGCAAGTGGAAGGAGATGCAGGAAGGATGGGTGTGGGCTGTTTTCTTACAGCTTTCTGCCATCGTGGTATCTCCTAGCACAGAGGCACTTCTTGGCTGCGTTCACCCTGAGCCAAAATCCACCGTCAGAGCAGCTGCGCTGGGATGTGGCTACCAGCGTGTGAGCACAGACATGAATCATGGAAAGGGAATTCAAAGCCCTTGTGAAATAAGCACAGATTGTGTCAGTCCCACCGGGTCGCTCGGGACTTAGCTCTTCAGCACTGATTTAATTCACGTGGGCTGGGCTCCCACAGGTACTGTGGGGCCCTGAAGCCCTCTGTGAGGACGTGGTGCTGCTCAGAGCGGGGTGATTGCCAGCCAGGCAGGCTGGACAGAGCAGGTGACCTTGCACATCCTCACACCATCTAATATTCTCTTTGTATTTTGGAAGGGACCTGGTGGATTTGAATGTTCTGCTCCGGTCCAACGTCGCTCTCAAGACACCAGATGAGGTTTGATGTCGGATTTCTTTATTGTACAACTCTTATTTCACTATCTGAGAATATCAGCTCTCGTGAGAGGGTGTTGCTTGCCTCTGTTGTGATTTGACAACCTTCCCAAAAGCTCAAGGGAACATAGTCTTTCCATAGTTCTATGCACGTATTTGGAACCGCCTGAGCTCGGTACAGCAGGGCAATTGTGCCTGCCTACAGGAGATAAAAGGAAGTGTTTATTTTGGGCTCTAATCATGGGGTGGTATCTCCATTGCACAATAAAGCAATGCAAGGTTGTGAACTACTCAAGGTAGTAGTCCAAGTGTAAATTCCCAGAAGATTTGGACTTCTAAAGGCCCTTGGCCCGGTAGGAAAGGAGTTCAAAAGATGGAAGGGGAAATGAGCATGAAACTAAGAGCCAGAAAGCAAACAAAGGTCTGTGCCAAACTGATGTAACCAAATGCCTCTGGCAGTGATCTGTGAGAAGGGCAGAGCCTGAGATAAATGAGGCTGATCAAGATGAGCTAAACTCTGGAGGGGCCTGACCCAGCTTGTGAGGCAACAAATGCCAGGGAACATGCATTGCCCCAAATTGCGTGAACTGTCACTTTTGAGATTGGAAAGAAACAGGATCAGACCTGAATCTGAGTGTCCCCCGAGGGCTTCCCCCAGCCTGGTGAGAGATGTGCACGTTGTGTTTCTTCTCTTAGAGGTGCCAGCAGTTTGTCATTTCTCTCAGTTCATTATAAAACTCATTTTCTCTGAAGTGCCTCTTGCTGAGACAGTGCCAGAACTGGTTTTAAGCTGACAAGGTCTCATTTCTGAGAAATACACTTTTGGTTGGCAGTCCATTACACTTGGGAGCACTCGTCTTTATTGAGCTACATGAGATAGAAGATCTTCTGTGCCGTTTTCCCAGGCTGTGATGGGCTGCTCTGGCCTAGCCTGACCTCTCTAGGGGCTAGGAAGCAGAGTGGACCATGTATCTGTAGCTCAGCTCCCACTCACATTCACTGTTTGGCCTCTGGGCTTTTTCCTCACAGTAGGAGATCCATGTTAAGATGTTGGGAGGTGGAGCAGGTGTCCACTTTCACCATTCCTGCTACAGACAGAGGATCCCACATAGCCACAATTACTTTCTGAAAACCAAATGTCAGTTTGGAGTGAAATAAGCTCATGTGCAGATGAAACTGCACCAAAGAAAGACGTCCCAGGATCTCCCCTGTTTGGCAGCTTTAGGAATCTGTTGATACACCCTAAAAATAATGGGCTAGATGGAAGGGAACTTTAAATTCCCTCCCCATCAGAACTCCCCATCAGCCTTGAGTTTGGTTTGCAGCTAGAATAGACACAGGGTGATGTTCTGCTCCTATTTTCCTTAGGGAGTGCCGATCAAATACCTGGTCTTGGAAGACACCGATGAAGTTATAACCTTGGTGGAAGATAAGAGCAAGGTCGAACAAATCCAGGAGGAGGAGGAGGAGGATGAGGAAGATGAGGTTGAAAAAGAGAATGACAATCAAGGTGTGTAATTAAACCGTGAGAAGCTGATTGTCATCAGGTAGGACATGCAGTCAACATCTCCAAGACATATGTTAAAGCATTAAAGAATGCTCTTGCAAATCCAAGGCAAACTATCCCTTTGAAGGGTGCAAAGAGGACAGGGCCAGGTGCTTTTCAGTGATGCCCAGTACCAACTGGAACTCGTAAGGTTCCCTCTGAGCATCAGGAAGCACTTCTGTACTGTGCGGGTGATGGAGCCATGGGAAAGGTTGCCCAGAGGGGTTGTGGAATCTCCTTGGAGATCTTCAAAAGCCACTTGGACATGGTCGTGGGCACCCTGCTCTGGGTGTCTCTACTTGAGCAGGGAGGATGGACCCAGAGGTCCCTGCCAACCTCAACCAGTCTGTCATTCTGTGGTTATCACAGTCACACGATGGCTGTACAAAGTAGCTCTTTAATTCTCTGCAGATCCCTGGAGTTTCATGACAGACAGCTGTAATTTTTAAGGCAAACACTACGGACAAAAATCAGCAGCTGTTATAATAACGGTTGCAGAGATGCTGCAAGAGGGAGGGGCTCCTTCTGCTTAAATATGCCCAGCTTCAGGGGGGCAAGGTGTTTAAAGAGCACCCGAAGCTGTCTCCTCTTCAAGCATCAGAAGAAATTATGATTTATTTGTCAGAATTATCTGTCCCTTTGGAAAGGTTTGAGACATGTTTTGGTAAGAGCTGTTCCAGACTTGCTTTCTCCAGGGAGAAAACACCGGCCCCTGCAATGCTTTCTTGAAAACATTTGTTTTCTATACCAGATTGTTTTTGTTTAGCAGAATTATTAAAATGTTCTAATGGGGTTGCAGCTGGGTGTGTAGTTCCCTGTGCCTTTTGTGCACATGCTTTTCTTCATGCACGGCTGTTGGCCCCTTGCAGACGTTCAGGATGATCAGGTGGTGGAAGCAGTTTCCAGGGACAAGAAGCGAGAGCTGCCCTTGGAGCAGATCCTTACCCTGACGGAGGAGACCTTTCACTCTGCCGTGTTGAAAGCTGCCCAGACGGTGGTGCTGTTTTATGCCAGCTGTGAGTATGAAATGTGGAGTGGCAGGCCCTTCACTAGCTCTCACACTTTCCGTAGAGTGGTGATACCGTAGGCAAGTTTAAATCATAAATATATGCTGCATCCTGTTCCATGTACCCCCACCCACTGGTAGCAATCAGATTAAATTACTTCCTCTCATTGACTGATAATGTGCGACGACAGAGCATCTCTCAGTATAAAATACATCAGGGGTTTTCCACTTTGACAGGGGCTGAATGAGGGACAAGAGGGGAAATGAGTGCGTTGGACTCATGGGATAACATAGAAAACCCAGTCACTGGCTGCTGCAGTAAAATAAAGTCAAATTTTCTTCATTTCATTCAGTCTTTCAGAGCCTGAAGCACCTTAGGGTGCAGAAAATGGTAATGTAACATTGTCAGTCACCTATATGTAACTTGGGGCTTTGTCTCTTCTGTGTTTCAGGGGAAGCAGTGTCCCTGGTAGTGCTGCAGACTTACGTGGAGGTGGCCGATCACCTGAAAGGTAAGGTGCCACGGGTCTAAAGTCCTGTACAGCTGGTTTGCATCTGAAGTATGAACCAGAAGACTGGGAAGATATTGGTGGTATCTCAGTTCCTCACGCAGAATATACTCATTTTCAGTTCCTAAACTTTTAAGAAGGCATACCCACATTAAGTTGTTTAGGAAGAGGATTTGTGTCTTAATTAGGGATCTTTGCAGTCCCTTTGTGCCTGCATAAAGTCATGGGACTGGCAGTACAACCTTACACAGTCACCTTCTGCTTTAGGTGTAAATTTGTACACACCAGCTGCCCAAGCTGCCTTTCAGCTGAGATTGTGGTGTTGATGGGTTCAGTGATTGCACGATAAATGCCCGATATCATGAGGAGACAGGACAGAACATCAGAAGCAGTGAGTGACACAGCATGGGCTTTGGAGGTAGAGGGACAAACAGCAGGCACCCTGGCCTGCATCCCAAAAACAGGATCCTGTTGGTGACCTGTAAGGAGCAAGAAGACGCACTGCTTGCTGCACAGCATGAGGCTTGAGAGCCAAATTGGTGTACAAGGGGGCTACATCAGGTCTCCTGCACTTGGAAGTCACCACATAAGCACTTGATCTGGAGCAGAGCAGTAACCAGGCTTTGGTAGAAGGCATAACAGACAGGTGTGGGCAGGCCCAGATCCAGAGGGGGAGCAGAATGGTGTCAGAGAAAGAATTTAAAGCGATGATGCCTTCAGGGCCTGTAGACGGGCTTAATTACATGGGAAGTCTCACAGGCAGCCACAGATTCCATAAATAATACATGACAGCGAAGAATCGGTAACATTTAAAGACAACGCACATCAGGCAGTCTGCTAATAAAGGCAGGAGGGATTGGTGCTTCAGGTGTGTGGTATTTCCTGAGCAGTGTTAAGCGCCAGTTCAGCTTCATTCAGGGCTTCAGCCCTGTCCCCCTCTATAGTCAACAGTATATGGGGGGGTTCTTCTGCACTATCAGGCTTATATGGGCTGAATCTCTTCTAAAGATACCTGTGTCTGCCCCTGACTTACAGGGTTATACCCAGGTGACTTCACTCCCCAACTCATTTCAGTAGCTGGTGCCTTCTGTGTGTTTTCATTCTTCATCAAGGCTTATTTCTCATCCTTATTTCTCACTCCTCTGGGACTGAGCACCTTGTCCTGCCAATTGCAAGCAGGATTCAAACAGCTCTCAGCAGAGAGAAAATGTATAGGGTGTGCAAAGGACTCAGGCAGTTTTCTGGGAAGCGGATGCACTGGGAGTTGCTTACAAGACACCCTCCTGGGAACACTGAGGACAGCGCTGTGGTTTGGATGAAAACAGTTCTGCATTCATAGTTTTCCTGGCACCTTTTATCTGAACTGACATCCTGGGAATAAACAGGAAAGGTCAGGGAGAGTTATCATTGGTAGAGAAGTCATGGTTATTGATTCTTTGGGGTTTCTTTCAGACTCTACAGCTGTTAGACCAGCTGAAGTAGCAAGCTGGGAGAGTCAGTGGATGAAACCCTGCCTCTTCCTGAACCAATGATCAAAACTTGGCTGGCTGTGTGAGGCTAAGCTTTCACCATGTGTTTCTTTAATAATTTGATAACAATCTCAGTACATGGACGCAGCCATAGGCAGATTCTCAACAGAGATTATGAACTGATTGAGGTCAGGGCCTTTCCTCTGCGATCAGTGAGGTCCCACTGAAGAATCCCAGGCCAAACTGGAATCATGAAATGACTCCCGCCTGTTTTTCCTGCTGTAACCTTGGAGAAGATGGAGAATGGCTGCTTTTGTGGAGCTGGAGAGAAATGTAGTGAGTTTCCTGCAAGTTACATCTTTGTCTCTGCTGCTGGGGAAGACTTGGTCACAGGCAGGTCTGTCAGTGGAGCTGGAAGACCTAGAAGGATGGAGGTCCCCAGGTTCTCTGTTATGGCCAGGATGAGGGTGTCTCAGACCTGGTAATTAGGGTGGTCTGGAGTCAAGAGCTTAAAGACGCCAAAGGTTATAGCAGATCAGGCTGAGAGCATGAGCCATATCGACTGTGAATGTTCTAGTCCAGGGGGCATGGCTTAAACTGAGTTTCCAGATGAAAATCAGTGAATCTGTGAACTCCCAAGTAGGAGTCAGTGTCAGGGGATCCAGAGCAGGGCTTGGTAGTAAGAACAGAGTGAGGCAGGGTAGCTGGGAAAGTAAACTGGTGCAAGGGGCAGAAGTCTGGATCAGGAAGAAGAGCTTGAGCTATGTAAGACTTAAAACATGGATTATGTCTTTGGTGCAGTCTGTCAGCTCCCCCAAAAGTGCTGGTATTCCTGTGTCTGCCGTTTGGGGTGGAGCTAACTTCCTAAAGATTCAGAAGCCAAGATCTGCTGTCTGAGGCATGAGTCACCCACACTAAAAGCACGTTTGGAGATGCAATACAGGTCCCACTCGATGCCAACTTTCTGTGCAAAATGGCAGTGAAAATAGGCCATAGGAGATACAGAACAAGAGAATGGAGGAGGCTGGAAACCGGGATGACCCCATGAATCACCCAGTAACAGATGATCAGCAGTAGATCATCACCAGATAAAGTTTAAGTGGCCCCCCAAAGTGGTTTCCCTTTGTTAAGAGATCTGATCTAAGAGGAGATCAGGAGAATCATCTCGGTCTTGCTGAACAGAGCACATTTTCTGCTCTTGCGTCAAGAGCTTTCAGTTCTCTCTGCCACTGGGGCTAACGGCAGCTCTTGTTTTCTTATAGAAGATGTGAATTTATGGAAGGAGCACCCCTAGGACTGTAAAAGAGGTTGTGAAGGTGAGACAGAGTGGTTGCATTTCTTAGGTGTGTCAGTGGACTGTTTTGAAAAGTTCTAGATGGGAGAAACCAATGTGAAAGAAGAGTAATATTCTGAAAAACTGAGCTGAAAAACAATTCTGTTTCCCTCTTCTGTGCTCATGGAGTCTTCTTGGCCAATGACTTTCAAAGACAGGGGTGTGAAGTTGTAGTTCAAAGGTATGAACATCACCTGGGTGATTTAGCAACACAGACTCATGCAGCACATATTCATAGAATATCCTGGACTAGAAGGGACTCATGAGAATCATCAAGTCCAACTCCTGGCTCCACACAGCACCACCCAAAAACCAAACCCTACATCTGAGAGCGGTGTCCAAATGCTTCTTGGATTCTGGCAGGCTCAGTGCTGTGGCCATGGCCTCGGGGAGGCCCTGTCCCAGTGCCCAACCACCTCTGGGTGCAGAACCTGTCCCTAACCCCCAGCCTGACCCTCCCCTGTCCCAGCTCCAAGCCGTCCCCTTGGGTCCTGTCGCTGTCCCCAGAGAGCAGAGCTCAGCGCCTGCCCTTCCGCTCCCCTCGTGAGGGAGCTGCAGGCCGCCATGAGGCCTCCCCTCGGCCTGCTCTGCTTGGGGCTGAACAAACCAAGGGACCTCAGCTGCTCCTCACACATTTTGCCCTCCAGACCCTTCACCATCTTCATAACCCTCTTTTAGACACTCTCCCTTCATGGAACCTGAATCTGAAGCAAGGATTTAGGAGTCTGTTATGGATTCCTAGGCCCCCAGGCTGGAAAAGACTAACACCAAGGAAACATCAGTATAGGAAATGAGGGAAGGAGAAACCAGATCCCCTGTGGTACTGGGGGACGTGGAAGTCTCTGCAGTAGCTGGCAATGAAGAGGTCTGGAGGGAAGTTCCCAGGTTGTGTGTATTATCTATGAGCTACGTACAGAGAAATTGTAACACTCAGGAAACTTTTGGCTGGTTATTCCCCATTCTGTACTGGATTCCTCCTCGTGAAGTGCAGCACTTCACACATAACATTTCTTTTTCATCTCATAACCTTTGGGCCAGCTCTCCATGTGAGCTGTTGATAATGCCAGTCCTGCCCTCCAAAGGATTAGCTGCTTAAAGGATTCTTGATTTTTTCTGCATATCCTGCATTGTTCCCTGTAGCCTTCAGTGATTTGTTGCTTTTAGAAGACCCCTTGGACAGAGTTTCTCTCTATCACTTTTAGTTTTAGTTTCAGTAGCACCTAAAATCACGGAACAGAAGGATCTTATATTTCTCTTTCAACTTTCTTCCCATCCAGCAGCTCAAAGGTGACCACAGGGCTGAACAAACTTTTGCTGACTCAAGTCCTGAAACTGCTTTGTGTTCGGTAATTAGTAACATGGTGCAGCTTGGGATGGTAGAGTGATCATCCCGTACACAGCGTTCCTCAGGCCAGCCAGGGCTTCCTTGGAGATCTGGGTCATTTATGGTACATAATCCCCCAAGGTGGTATCCAAATACTTAAACTTGCATTTTGTGGATATTTAGAGCAGCCTCGCAGCTCAATTTTAACAAGACATCAAAGCCTTGTTTCCATGTCATTTGTTTCAGAGTTGGGCAAGACACAAGATTATGTGGTAACAGATGATGAGAACCAGCCATACCGGATCAGAGGTGTGAAATAAATCCAGGGGCAGGCTTTCAGTTTGAGAAGTTATTTCACAGCCTGGAGAATGACACAAACCATTTTTGCTCTCTCGGAGTGTTTTGAGAGACTCTGGACTGTCTGAGTGGAATTGCAGACCCTTAGATTAGTGCCACTACTTGCTTTTTCTGTACATACATTTGACACAAGGCAGAACAGCAGTGAACTCACGTGAAAGAGCTGCAAAACAGAAACTAAAATAAAGGCTATATAAAATGGTCCAGTGGGATCTCAAGGACAGAAGGATATGGGATGGGAAAACATGCAAAGGTCACCTGTGCTTTCACCCTTGTCTTTGGGGTGCCTTGCCAATCCCTGGCAAACAAATGTCTGTGAGCCTGTGACTAAAACCCTTCCATAGCTATTCTGGCTAAGACTCAGTTATGCTTGTTTCTCAGAAGCTTATTTTAATACTTGGTCAACCTCCCCAGGCCTGCAAATGGACTGCTGCTTGTCCTTTACCAACTGGCAATAGAGAGAGATCTCACTGTCACCTCTGGAACAGACTTTGCATATTGTTGGATTTTATTGTTTCCTTCTTCTAGCAAGTTTTTGACTGAAACAAACTTACCTTCTCCTCAGGGGACATCTTCCGAACTTCTCTCTTCCCCAGATTTTGTTTTATCTGCTTGCACCTTTCAAAAAACGTTTTTCCCAACCTGCACAAAGGCTTGATGCGCTCTGCAAAGGTCTCACCAGGACAAAATAGAAGGACATCATTTTCATCCCGTGTCTTGCAAACGCTGTGGAGAGTTCATCCCAAATGAGCTTTACCCTTATCCACAGCACTGATGATATCTGTGCATCCTGTTTCTCCTTACAGAATATCACTTTAATTTAGACTTCAAATTTCTTTCTGTCCCTTTGAGCTTTGGAATATCTGAAGATTGGATGTATATGCTTATTCTGTCAGGCTTTTAGTAAAGATAGTGATCAGAATCTAACCCAGAAAGGACAGAGAAGAAAGCTTGGTTGTTTTAATCTGCTGTGCTCTTGAGAAATCGTCATCATCTGCCCTTACCCAGGTTTCTGAAGGACAGAACACTTTGTGATAATCTGCGTGTACTTGCCTCAACGTTTCATCCCATCTTTCCCATGTAACTGTTGAATCTTGTTCAAACAAATTTACCAAAGGCATAAAGATCTCCGAGATACCGAATTCCTGCAATGGGCATGGACAATGTATGGCCTGAGGACTGTACACAACCCTCCTGTCGTTGGTCAAGCCTGCATTTAAATAGGAGACAGGTTGGGCAAGGCTGACAGCCAAGAGGTGGTGGCTAGTGAAGCCAGTGACAGTTCACCTGCCAGCCGGTCAGCACATGCTTAGCAGTGGACTAGCAGCAGCCTGTGCTGCTTTCCACCCAGCCCTCAGATGAAAGGAAGGCTGATGAAGACATGCTGAAGTTACATGCGCTGTCTTGGGCTCCTGGAAAGTATGCAGGAAACCAACATTTATTTTTTTCACTGTTTATGGACCCCCCCTTGAGTTTATCACTTCGGTGTGGCCCATAAAAAGCTTTTTTTTTATTGCTTGTCCCTGGAATCAAAATTGGAGTGACTGCTCTGTAATTCTCAAGAGCTCTTCCTTTCCCACTTCTTTACTTGTGAGACCTGAGTCTCTTCCTTAAGGCCCTAAAAGTACCTGCTAATGCCATCAGACCACCAGACTGAATTACATTTATTTTGTTTGAATGACTTTTTATTGCTCTTTGTGTATTTAGCACCAGGTATTAGGTAAAACAGACACTTTTCAATACCGGGCACCTTATTAAGTGAAAAAGCCTCAAATGACAGAATGACAGACTGGTTGAGGTTGGCAGGGACCCCTGAATCCATCTGACCCAAGCAGGACCATCCAGAGCAGGCTGCCCACAACCATGTCCAGGTGGTTTGTGAAGATCTCCAAGGAGGGAGGCTCTACAACCTCCCTGGGCAGCCTGTTCTATTGTTCAGTCAACTACAAGGTAAAGAAGTGCTTCCTGATGCTCAAAGGGAACCTTCTGTGCTCCAGTTTGTGCCCATTGCCTCTTGTCCTGGCCCTGGGCACCACCAAAAAGGGCCTGGCTCTGTCCTCTTTGCACCATCAGGTATTTATGGACATTGATGAGATCCCCCTGAGCCTCCTCTTCTCCAGGCTGAACAGTGCCAGCTCCAATCCCTTCATCATTTTTTTCCACTATGTTGGACTCTCTCCAGCATGCCCAGGTCTCTCTTGTACTGGGAGGCTCAGAACTGGACCCAGCACTCCAAGTGCGGCCTCACCAGTGCTGGGTAGAGGGGGAGCCCCATCTCTCTTGACCTGCTGGCAGTACTTTGCCTAATACAGCCCAGAATACCATTAGCCTGAGCTGCAGGGGCATAGTGCTGTTCACATTCAGCTTGTTCATTGGGACCCCTAGGTCCTTTTCTGCAGAGCTGCCTTCCAGCTGGGTGGCCCCCAGTATGTCTTGGTGTCTGGGAGTGTTGCCCTCCAGGTGCAGGAGACATCACCTTCCTCCACCCCAAGCTTTTTCTTCCCTCTTTCCCATAAGCAAGGGCCTGCATGGTTTCTTTGTCTTGGCCTCACTCCTAAAGTATTTCCAGCACCTTTCCTTACTGCCTTATATGCTCCTGGATGCTTGCCCCAGGGTTTCATTGCAGCCAGATGTGAATGTCTCTGGGAATTTCTTTCTGAGAAGTGTAACCTGCCACTTCCCTGGTTTTGTTCTCTCCGTGGTCTGTTGTTTAAATCAGTTTACACCTGCTGGGATGTTTAATATAGGCTGGAAATAGTCTTATATTCAAAGCTGTGATGCACGTCCATGAACGGTTGCAAGAGGGAGATAGCCTAGACTCAAAGGGATTGTTTATTTTGGGACTGGGTTTTGACATCCTGCCCACACAAAGCAGCTTTTGACTCTGGGAATGTTCTAGCAACTTGTCAGTGGCAGCCCACCTGGCCTCACACCATGTGCATGCCTTGGGTTAGGATCTGTAGGATGCACACCAAAGTAAACAGAAGCTCCAGCAGCACTGAAACAAATCTATGCAATAATGTCCAAAGAAGCTCACGTAGCTCCCTTTTTCAATCATTTCACTCCTTTTTTTTTTTTTTTTTGGATACTATTTATAACATATTTGTTTTCTCTTCTAGGAGTTCAGGGGGTTTTGCTGTCTCGGGTCAACTGCTGGGACTGGCCTGGTGTTTGCACGGCAGAGAATGTCACCCAGTTTCCTACCATAAAGATTTACAAGAAGGGAGAGAAACCATTAATGTACAACGGCATGTTGGGAACTGAAGAACTGACCAGCTTCATCATGTTGTAAGTGCCTGTTAATGGGTCCCCACACAGTAGGAATTGGCACAACCACCAGATGATCTGGATACTTTATGGCCGATGTCATGGAATGCCTTTCTGGAAAAATAATGTCAGATCTGGTTGTAGACCTGATTTGGAAATTAGCTTAATAACTTCCTGTGCTTTTTTTTTTTTTTTTTTTTTTGTCAAAAACATCTATTATTGAACAATATATCCATCTGTTGCCACTGTCCCTCTCTGGAATTCATTCTGTTGTTTTTAATGTGGGTCTCAGTCCAGGAAGGCCCTTTGGGTGTGGTCCTAAGGTGATGATGTTGGTGGCAAAGCCCTCTGTGGTTTTATTGGAGGCAGAGCCAACCCGTTAACCTAAACCAAGAGATCTCTGCAGTTTAGCTGAGGGATGTCAGCCTGTCCCACGTGCAGAAAAGATCTCAGAAGAGCCAGTTTGGCTTAGGGCTATTTTTTTCCCCATAACCACTTCCAGTACCTTTCAGTGACTAGGCATTGCCATTCCTTCCCAGAGGCAACTGATTTTTGTCTATGGTGAGGTGTAATGGTTGTCACGTTGGGTTGGGACATTGTTGTTTCAAGGATTTAGGTTGCCCTTTGTCTCTTCATCCCAAAAGTGAAGAAGACAGCCCATGTTGTTTCTCTTCCTTTCCGTAGGAGCCGAGTTTCCTGCCCTCTGAAGCTGATGACGATTGATGAAGCAGAAGGGTACTTAAGAGGAGAGCTTCCATCTGAGCTGTCATCCTACCACCACACTTCGGTTCTAGGAGTGTTTAGCACAGCCACAAGTAAAGGTTAGTGTGGTATTTATGGGTTTAGCACTCAATTTGATTCCTGACCAGAGATGGTTGATTCCAGATGCTTAGAAGTTCCTCCACGTTTTGTTTTCTCTAGTTGACCCACCGTGTTTGCTCACATCAAAGCCTGCCAGGCACCACCTTTCTTACTTTTTGCAAGTAGGTTTCAGGTAGTTCCACATGTGGGGCCTAAGGTTTGAATCCTGACTCAAAGGACATTCAGCGGTTAGCTAGCAACTGTGGGCATGTTTATTATACCCATTGTGGTAGCATCAGATAACCCTGACAGGTATTGGAGACATTGTGATTAGAACAGTACAAAAAAAAACCAACAATTTATTGGGTGAGCCAGGGTTGCATGATCATCCATGCAAAGAAGGTTTTGCAAATGTCCAATATGAACTTCCCAAGGCACAGTTTGTGCCTGGTGTCCCTGTTTTATCTCCTGCCCCTTACCATGAAAAGTTTGTCCTTTTCATACACCCCTTTCAAAGGAGTTGTAGGCTGCTGTCAAATCTCCTCTCAGCCTCTGACTGAACAAGCCCAGATCCATCAGTAATCTACATGCAACATGTCACAGCATACTGTTTTGCAAAGAAAGCCCTTTCCACTATTGGATCAACAGTTATCTTGCTAACTCCTCATGCAAATGTGGTAGTCCCAGTCCTTCCAACCAACACACAATCTGAAATCTAAAAATTTTACTTCAGTAAAATTGGAGATTCTTCTGATATTGGTGAAAATCAAAATTTCAGAGTATTTTTCATTTGGAAGCTTCGTTGTGCCCATAAACTTTGGTTAAATGTAAATAAAGCTACTTTCTCTCATGAGGAATTCCAGGAAGAATCTAATATGGTCAGAGGTAAGAACAAAATAAAATGTCAGGAACCAACCAGAAAACATCTGGGCTGTGCTCACAGAGCCAGCTAACGTGCCTCGCTTCTTCTGGACGGCCTGTACCTAAGTCTGTTAAATATAGGAGGAAATCTTGTTGATCTAAAAAAAAATTTAGACCATTTTTTCCTGGTTTTCATCAGTTGAGCTCCAGAATCTTCCCTGCATCCCGCATATTCCACTCTCTGTAGTAATGGAGCCTGCATTAGCCCAGACAACAGGATTTCAGATAGGATGCGGGCTGGTTCTCTGCAAGGAACCTGCTTGGATCCAGCTGGACTGGTGAGCTGAGACTGTTTCCTGTATAGAAGAAGTTAATTTCCTTCTAGACCTGCTCTGTCTGTGGAAACAAGAGCCTTGGAGGTTTCCAGACAGCTCCGTGTGGAGCCCGCAAGATTGCCTGTTCCCTTAGGGCATGCTCCATCTGCAAGCTGGAATGGCATCTGCAGTCTGGGTAACTCAGCCACAGATGCCAGGGGAGATGAAATACGTGATGCTTTGGCAGCGTGTAACCTGAGGGAGATTGGAGTGTCATGCAGAATAATCTGAGGGAACAGAAAACAGGAGCCAGCGGTTCTGGCACCAAACCCAGGCCTGGAGTCAGGGAAACCACATTGCTGTCCTTATCAGCCCGCAGACTTCTCTGGAATTTCCAATTATTTTCTCATGGCAAGAATTCCTGCTCTTACCTGAACCAGCAACGTGCCATGTCATTGTCCTCTCTGGTTAACTGAAACAGAGCAACGGGATGTCCAGTTAAATAAAGCCCTGTTCTTTTTCCAGCACTTAATGTGAGAACTATATTAAGAAACCATTAAGTGGACCTAAGCTAAAAGAGGTTTGTCAGAAAAATCATAATGAAAATTTATTACAAAGAGGTACACAGTATTGCTAGGGCAATGAACGAGCATTTTCCTGGAAACCAGAGGAACTTGTAGGAGAGGAGCTTGTTTGCTACTCAGAAGCGTACTTGGAAGCAAAACAGTCTCCAAAAATGTGCAGCAATTGTTTAAAAATACACCTGTGTTCCGTGCAGCTCTGGTAACATCGCAGGGCTTGCCAGCATCAGTGTAAACCCAGCAATAAACATTAACTGAGTGTCCTCTCTGTGTCCTCCAGCACTTTGGGAACAGGTAGGCTGCTTTTGATTTCTGCTGAACATTTTGATCATGCGTGGGGCTTTCTGCACAGGCTGCTCGCTTAAAAAGAAATTCGTGATCACATTTATGTGTGGGCAGAACAAAGAAAGGACCAGCATAACCCTTGTCTTGTCTCCAGCATTTCCACAGTAGACATTAAGGAAGAGGATATAAGACATGTTCAGAGGGATTTCTTTCCTTGGCAACATGGAACCCAATAATCAGCAATTTAAGGTCTTCCTTAGTTTAGAAATCTCCTCCTTGCTTTGTATCTGATAGCTGCTGGTGGCATAATCTGAATCTCTGCTTGGTATCCAGAGTATGCCATGGCAGTGACGTTAGTCCTTGGAGGATTTTATGCGTGGCTGTGTGTTTCCTGTTCTCTGGTAACTGGTGCACAAGCATTTTGTTGGCTGCAGGGTCTTCTGTTAGTAGAAATGGTGAATAATTGATCCTGATTTGCTTTATTTGAGATCTTGTGTTGTCTAAGCCATCCTTTGTCACTCAGCAGATGCAGTCGGACACAATTAACACCAGCAAAAGTAGAAAAGCAGCTTAGCTGAAGCAGCTTCAAACTTTCACTCGATACAAATCAAATTACACACTATGTAATCTACAGTCTTTAATAGTTTTCAGGAGAATAAAAAATTCTCCAGTTAAAAGAATTGGAGTTTTCTGGAAGTCTGCAGTTAACAGTAAGTTCTCTCGTGCTTGGTTTGAGACCCCTGTCTTTACCACGCTGTGTGCTTGACGCTGTCTACCTACTAATGTGTACCCTTAGGTATGTAGCTTTTCCATGCTCATGGAACTTTTCTCCTATTGCAGTGAAAATTTTCAGCAGCATTTTAATTTGCAAGCCAGCTGGGTGGCGCCTTGGGCTGGAAGAAGCCACACAAAGATGCCGCAAGTACTGCTGGAGAGTGTGATTTCATGACATGCCTTTTGCTGATGCTACAGGAATGAGGGACTCAGATCCTGCCTCTGAAAGCTGCAGGAACTATAGGCTCTTCTTCCTCCAGCAGTTTTCTTTCTTGTCGTTCCAAAATCCCGCTTTGAAGCTGTGCTTGTGCAATTCATGGGAGCTGTCATAAAAGGCAGCTGGGATTCCAGCTCGAGGCACATACTGCAGTGAGTGACCAGCTCTGCGGGGACGTAAAACAGGGTTCTCAGGGGAATTGGTTTTCTAGGAATTACTTAAATAGCTTATTTGGAAGCATTTTGTATCTGTAGTGGAACTGTGTGAATTTAGGGGGTTGTTGCACAGAACTAAGCATGTTGCTGTGAGCTGTGTGTAACTGCGTATGTCACAGATAGCCCCCAAAAGGCCGAAAATTTTGGAAGTGGGGTGGGAGGGAAGTGCGAAGTGGAATTTGATGGGGAGGAAAGGTCTCGGTGCAAATGAGCCTGATGAAATAAGCAAGCCTGGATTGTGCTGAACGTTGTCCAGATTTAGGAGAGAATTCCTGCAGCCAGGGCCTCTCCAGGGCAGCACTTGAGCACATGCTTACGTCTCAAGTAGAGTGTTTAAAGTTAAATGCCTGTGGAAGTGCTCTCCTGAGGAAGTTTGGATTAAAGCCTGCTCCTTCCATGTCAGGCTGAGTTCCTTAGTGCCTTGTAGCACAGGGTGTGCTCACAATCTTCCTCACGGCCTCCTCTTCGGAAGCTGGACCACCAACAAGTTTCCAAAGGATTTCTTGCTGAAGCTCACAGTATTCCTCATCGGCTGGCCCTATGGCTTGTTTTTGTCTCAGCACTGATAAAAACAAGTGGCAAAAGAAAAACTGAGTCTGGAAAGCGGTGTCAGACCCATCCCGTGGTATTTTCCCTACATCACAAGATGAACTGGCCAACCTGTCTCACGAGCTTTGTGACACACGCGTTGTTTTTTGCAATGTCTGAGCTCCCAGGGAGCCACCACTCCTTTTAGGATCTGAGCTTCCACTTGGAAAGGAAAACAGTGTGAAGGAAAGCTCGTGGTCCCTGTGGTTCCAAGGGATCACAATGGAAAATACGGCCCTGAGTCTTGCAGGAAAGCCAGGGGCAAAGAACCAAAAAGTGACCAGTTTGAGCCAGCTTCGGTTTATGGAGGTCTGAGTCACTGGTCCCAAGTGCTTGGGTTGGCCAGTTGTGACACGATGGTGGATGTTAGGAGGAACTGTAAACAGCATCTGGATGGTATTTTGTTTGGGTTAAGAAGCAACGTGGCTCTATCTGAATCGTAACCTTAACTCTTGGGCAAACCTGACTCCTCTAAACTTCTCTAGGTGATTTCTCCCTCTCCGTAAGTCAAAAGAGCCTTCAGTTGCCTGGCATAAAAAGAGTGGGAGAGTTGAAAAGTGCTGAGTTTTCAGGCTACTTTGGGCAGCCTACTGTGTCTTCAATTCAGTCCAGGCTCTGTGTCTTCAATTTAGTTATCCCTCTGACCCTGGATGCCTGTAGCAGACCCTCCTGCTGGGAGGAGCAGGGTAAGACCAGAAGACGCTTTGGAAGAGGTTGGTTTATCTGCTGGGCACTTAACACTACTCCCGTTCAGCCATCATCAATCATTTCCAAAAGGTCACGGGGATTTATGCGATTTCTGTTTAGCCTCGTAAATGGCCTCCTGTTTCTAGGAACACTTACGGTCTTTAAGTCCTTAAGGGCATTTCACTTTCCAGCAATGTCTCTGTCGTGAAAATCCTGGAAGCTCACTGCTGGTGGCTAAAGAGCAGACACGGTTCTCATACTAGGAACTCTTTGCTTCTGATCCTTTCGGTTGCTGCCAGCTCCTGCCTCACGTAGCCTGTGGCCATGAGGCGCATCCATTTCTCATCAGCCACTAATCATAGTTTTGTTCACAACTGGCAATTTGCTGTGGGAGGGCGTTAAATATGCAGATGCGGTGATTTGGTTTCCAGAAGGAAGCTGCCACTTCTCCATTGTTTATTTATGTATCTTTGTCTTTTTTTTTTTTACAGCCAAGGAAGCTTTCGTAGAGGCAGGAAGCATCTTAAGTGGGCACGTGACAATGGGGATGTATTTTGAAGACGATGCCTTGGCTTTGTGAGTTGTTTGCCTTTTCCTTTGGTGAGAACTCAAACTGGCCTGCATTTAGCAAAAGTTCTGCCTAAGCTGAGCACTGTAGGTATCTTCAGTCCTCCAGCCCTGCCAGTCCCCTGTGTGTTTGTTGGGTTCCCCATAAAAAAAAAGGGCCCAAACATACGGGGGAAAAAACAGGCTGCAAAAATGGTACCTTCTAGCTAGGATCAGTGTGAAAAAAAAAAAAAAAAAAAAAAAATAAGAAAAAAGAGTTCTGCCCTTCTATTTCCACTGAGATGAAATGAAGACTTGTGATTGTTCTGCCTCTTTCTGCAATCCCTTCACGTGCTCTTTCCCTCTTCCCTCTCCTGACGCTGCAGAAGTGCATGCTGAAGTTGGGGTGGGTGGGAAGGGAAGCCTGGGAGGGTTGCTGCAAAGCCAGAGCTGTAAATTGAAGTTTTGCTCTGGTGGATGCCCCCAGTTGCCACTAGCAGCCAAAAGGGAGTCAGTGTGCTACTTGTTTCTGCTGGCAGGCTTTATACCAAGGAGTTCTTGGCTAGTGGTGGAGTGGGGATTGTGTCTGGGTGCTGGAGAATGGTTTGAAAGCCCTTAAATAAATGCTGGCTGTCCGTGGAGCACTGTAAAAGGCATCAAACTCCTTTGGTTTCATCCAGCTTCCCAGTAGACGTTCACATCTGGCTGCGAGATGTTTGCAGCTGCCAATACCAGGAAAGAATCTACCTCTGTCACTTCTAAAGTTTATATTGTGGTGGACTTTTTTTTTTTTTTCTTGAAAAATGTGACCACCAATGGCAAGAGCCAGACGTTCCCACCATTTCCAAGCATAACTTAGGGCAAGTGTACCTTTCCTGGAAGAAAAAAAGCTGGGAAAATCCAGCAGCCTTCTTCCAGGAAGTATGGTAAAGGTGAAGCCAAAGCTTTCTTGTTCAGTTCCTGATTGATTGAGAGAATAAGTTGAGGCCCTGACTTGAAGCCAAATTGGAGCTGATCGGATATGGGCATGTGTCAGTGCACACACTGAGCTGTATCAGTAACACCAACGCAAAGTTGTTTGGATAAGACTGTGAGAGATGCTTCAGGGCTTATAAATGCTGGTAGATCCAAAGAGATCTTTGGCTTGTCCTGACATCTCATTTCCATCAGGAACTGGCCATCAGGGCAGCGTTAAAAATCCCCGAGGGTCCTTGGCCTGTTTTCCAGGAGTGGGTTTTAACAGCCACTAATGTAGCAGCGAATTATTTTCATTATTTTTTTTTACAGATGTGCTGCATCACTTGCATCATTTGTGATGAGATATGGACATTTTTCTGATGTGCATGGAAAATAAAAATGTAAATTCGTTGGCAGGACATCTCCATTAATTAAAGCGTGCTCAAAGCACCCACTGTGGTCAGGTATTAGAAGTGAGGCAGTGCAAAGCCTGCTCAAACCCTGGGGTAATGGCAGGAGCTGAAGTCACAGCCAGCAGCATCAGGGAGAAAAACCTGCACCCAGCAGCTGAAAGATCTTCTTCTTTCTTCCCTAATGATCACTGCCCAGGTAATAGGAGGAAAAAAAGCGAAGGAAGGTAGGATGGTCCTGAAAAACAAAAAGACACCGATAGAAAATGTCTGTGTTTTGTCAGCAGTGACACATGCAAGAATATACCACCGTCCTCCTGCTCCAGCCATAGCCTGGAGCGTGCTCCTATTTCGGTGGAATAGTTAATACAGTTTCTATTGATATTAATTCTGCCAAGTTTGGATTTTGGCTGTGGAAGGTGTTTTTAGCTGTGATTTGTGGGTGAAGCTACTGTAGATGGTCATCTTCTCAACTGTAAGTAGAAAGTAAACACTTACAGGAATTCCTTATGCAAGAGCCAGGCTCACTTCCCTTCTTTAAAGAAGAAAAGCTTTTTTTTTTTTTTTTTGCTAGGCTCTCACGACGAAAATGTTTGTGGCTCCCCAGTCACTGAAAGCTGAGTCCTGCTCACATTTCTCTCTTCCCAGAGAAAAACGTATGCAAAATGCACCAAGAATGTTCTCAGCAAAACTGTTTGCTCAGCAAACACCTGAGCAGTTGGTAACAAATGAAGAAAAAAAAAAAAAACAAAACACTAAGGAAGAAATGCTTTGAATGAAGTCATTCTTTATTTCTTGCATATTTAGATGTCACAGATTCCTGCCAAGTATTTGTTTGCAGATGGTTTTGATTTAAATGTAAGGCTCATATTACCCATCTAATACCCCTGCCGTATAAATAGAGAGCTGTCATGAGCAACAATACAGCCACTTGATGTGTATTGGTCGTATTACCAGTGAGATAAGACGTGACTGCTTTGTAGACTTTATCGATTGGATGGATAATTTGTTGGTTTTCTGGCAGCATCTAGGAAACTTCCTTATGAAAGGCAGCCGAACAACTCGATCTGTTTAGACACAGGGAACAAGAGTCTTTATCTCCTCCTTAGAAGTGATCGAGCCAGAGAGACACTGTAAGACCTAGGGGAGCTTGAGAAGTTCAAACGTCCAGAATGTCTGAGGTTTTAGTGTTCTCAAACAACAGCAAATGCAGGTGAGTTTGAAAAACAACAGGCAGGAAAGTTAGCGACCTTCGTAACAGATCAAAGGATTCCCAGCCACGAGCAGAGATGTGAAATAACTTACTAGACTGGAGGAGCTCCGGAGCCTAGGCAGAAAGCGTAGCTCAGGAATGGATTTACAACTATTTTTGGAAGGGAGAAGAATGTGTAAGATACAGCCCTGGCTTTTGGTGAGCTGAGAGAAGGCCAGAGGTATCTGGCCTTCTTGTTGATGTCAAAATACGATGGGAGTTAAGAAATTGCAGTGCTTCCGTGGTCTGTAGAAAACTGGGTTGGTTCTGGTGGGAAAAAAAAAAAAAAAAAAGGTGTTGAAATGGCCATAAAACCAAAGATTTTCCAGAACGCAGAGGCCAACAAAGCAGAGGATACTCCACAACGAAACTGAACAGGCTCTGAGAAACACAAGAATGGGTTAGCAAGGATTTCACAACATTTGAAAGCCTCAGCAAAGCACAAGGCTGTTATTGCTGCTCAAGATACCAGTGCAGATCGTGGGTGACCCTTGGAAATTTGCAGGGGCAAATTTCCAGACAAGTAAGTGCCGTGATGGGGAAAGGGAAAGGCCTGCGTTTGAGCTGAACGTCATGGAAATGTGCTGTCTGCGGTCACCTTCACTCTGTTTGCCACTGTGACCCAAAACAACAAACACTGAGATCTTTAAAGCAAATCTGAACACATCTCTGTCCCATTCAGAACTGCTAAAATAAGTGTCCAAACTGGATTTGCCTGGGCAAACCCCGGAGGGGAGTGCGACTGGTTGTAACATGACTTTTCTATGAGCTTCCCTTCATTAAAAATTACTGTTCTGCTGTAGGATGAATCCGTGTTGCACCTTTTTCATATGGAAAAAAAAAAAAAACAGGCAGACCAGATTACCTTTGAAAAGGAAATTTAAGACATTCTACCTGACAGCTTCCAGAACCCAAAATGTTCCTATGTTCCTCTCTCACATGGGCTCACTTCCTCAGTAATTCTAGTGCCTGTCTCTGAAAAATTAGCAGCAACCTTTGAAAAATAAATGACAGACAGCCCCCAGAGCGGTCGAGGCGGTTTACTTCCTCAGTTTCGCCCTTCCTCTGGGCAGTGACATCTGGAGCCCCCAGGGCTGAAGTTCCTCAAACTTCCAGAAAATTGCTCACCCGCCTTGGTATGGGCTGGGCCCTTTCATTGCCCAGACTTCTCCTATTTTTTGCTCTTTCCACCTGCTCAGCTTTTCTTTAAATACCCTTGAACCCTTTTACCAGAAGGGTTTTGATGGGGAACAAAGACCGGGCTGGTTTCTCTGCTGAGAGTAAGCTCAGAGGCTGTGTGTGTCACTGTGACATAGCTCTGGACCTCAGCACCACCACACATGGTCACCAAGACAAAAATCAGTCCCCGTGGGCTGGTGCCCAGCAGGGGCAGTCTCAGACCCCTGTTTGCTATGGTTTGGGAGATGCTGTAAAGTACTGGGTGGATATTTGCACACCTGAGATGTGAAAGTGAAAGGTAAATGCCAGCAAACCCTTTAGACATGGTGGATTTTTCACTTATTATTTTTATTATTTCACTTATTATTATTATTGTTCACTTATTATTATTATTGTTCACTTATTATTATTATTGTTCACTTATTATTATTATTTTTCACTTATTATTTCCTGTTGGCTCACGCTGGGACTGTGCAGAGACTTGGAAAAAAAAGGGGAGATGGAAAATGTGGCGTGCAGGGAGGCAGCTCGGGACCCTTTCCTCCTGCAGGTGGTCTGCACGGCCGGGTTTCCAGCACCACTTCCCCATCGCCACCTTTAACCGTGAGGACGCCAGCAGGTTTGGTGCGTGCCGAATCCCACACATTTCATTGCTGCCCCCCTTTTTCAGGTCCCGTAAATACGCCGTGTCTCCCCCAGCCCTCCTCCTTGCCAGGAGCGGAGATCGGAGTGTGGAAGGCATCGCTTTGTCCAAACACAGTGCTCAGGACATCGTGCAGACGATCAGATACAGATTGCTGGACACGTTTGTAAGTAAAAAAAAAAAATATTATTTCATTTATTTTTTGTTTTTTCCATTGCAGTCATTTTCATGAGCTCTGATTATAGCATGGGGCTGCGCAGGATAAATGTTTGCTTGTTATTTCTGTCGTGCTGAGTTACATGTGTGTGTGCTTTATGACTTGGAGCAGACGGCCTGGACAAGAATCTGTTGTTTGCAGTGTGGTCTCATGGGGCGAGACCTGGGAGCCTCTCGGCTGGCTTGTGCTCACAGTCCCAGACCCGCTGCTGTGGCCTCCTGCAGGGCCTGCTCCTGCACATGGATTTCAGAAGCTGCGTGGAGCTGGGCTGAGCCTGCCTCGCTTCTCTGCTCACCCCCCTTCATCTCAAAAGGGGTTAGACATTTCCAAAGTGCACCCAAATCCCATCATCCGTACTTGGTTTTAGCTTCCTGCATTCAACGTGGACCCTACAGGCTTGTTTAGCCCCTGCCTCACTCACGTAAGAACAAAAAAAACAATTTTGTCTTGCTCTCTCCTCCCTCTAAACCCCAACTTCTTGTTTTGATGTCTTGCAGCCCGAAATCACTGTGCAAAATCTGCCTCGCTACTTGCAGCTCAGGAAGCCCTTCCTCATCTTGTTTAGCGATGGTGACATCGGTCAGCTGGAAGGCAAGGAAATGCTGAAGCTGGCAAAAGGGACGCCGCAGCAAGCGTTTGTACCTTGCTGGTTGAACTTGTGAGTATGCGAAAACGTCTTTGTTTCTTTCCATTAAATTGCTCTAAGCATTTCAGGGCAAGAAAAAAAAAAAAATGAGCCCGCAATTTCTCCAAACATTATCTATCTGGTAATGTGGTTATATGGTCTGAAATCATCATGGGTTGGGAGGCCAAATCATTTAGCAATGATTCAGTATGTATTCTGGGCAGCTGCAAAATTGCACCAAAAAAAAAAGTTAAATTAGTAAAACCTTAATTGATTGCAGAAATAATTGTCAGTAGAATAAAATGTTCTCAAAGATACAGCACGGTAGTTTGACCCTGGCACTGAAGTTAGTTTTATTTTCTTTTTACACGTGGGTAAAAAAAGTAAATTTGCCCTCCTGGCGTGTCTTAAAGCAATTATTCCATCAGCAATTAGAGGGAAACACAGCAGGGCAATTAGTAATTGCTGACCTGAGGAAAAAAAGTTTCCAGAAGAAGGGAGAACCAGAAGCAGCCCTATAAGACAACCTTAAAAATATTCAAGAAACAAAATGAATCCAGGAGGTAAGAAATACAAAATTATAGAAGAAGGGATTATTTTTTTAAAAATCCTCTCCTCCTGTGTGCATTTTGAGTTTTTAGCCCCTGTTTGTTTTGCCCAGAGACACCTCACTGTCTTAATCATAACGTGCTTTGAAGTCTGGGAAGCGCCTCGCAGCGTGGGCTGAAGTTTTGCTAAAGGGAAATGCACATGTTTGCAAAGAGAGGACGATTTGTTTGCCAGTAATGCGCAAGAGATGAGAGCCCCTGGAACTTCCCCACCTACGCCTCTGCCTCTGTTCTCCTTTACTGAGAAAGAAAAGGCCGTCCTTTGTGAGGGCAGGAGCGTTTCCACAGGAGAAGGCAGAATACGACCACTGGCTTTTAAAAGAGCAACAGAGTCCTAGAAAGAGGACCTCGTTCCCATGGTGAGAGCCAGCTCAGACCCCGTGCACCACTGAGCCTCAAAATAGTGCCTGAAGGCCTCGTCATCCTCGTGTCCTCGCTGTCCCTGGGTCTCAGTCATTTGTCCTCTTGTGGTTCTGTGGTACTCGGGGAAGTTGCCACTCCAACTCCTCGGTGCTGGCTTGTAGGAAACCGCCCTGTTGCTGCCAAGGGACTGGGTTGTGTGAGCACACCCCTCTGTGTTAACCTCCTGCCCTTTCTTGCAGGGTGCTGACAGCAGCCAGGCTGCAGGGAGCTGGGAGTTCTCCCCCAAAAATTGCACCACAGGGGCTCTGCAGGGAGCTGGGAGCTCTCCCCCCAAATAACACTACAGGGGCTCACCACGTTGGGGGCCGCTCTGTCATTTCTGTCTCACCCGTTCTTCAAAACTTCTGGTGGAGCAAATTTCACGCCTTCCTACGGGATTTATCCCAGCAGTTCTCTGCTCCTCCTGCTAGAGGATTTCTTCACGCATCTCCTCCTGCTGTCCACTGTCTCTCCACTAGACCCTAATGGCTTGCTTAAGTCACTGAGCCCATAAATCACACTGGGAGCTGTCCCCTGGGTAAAACTGTGTTCGTGTGCCTTGCTGGATGTGACCCAAGGGCTTTGGCACTTCCTTGATTCCTGGTCACGTTCTGTTGGTTGCCAAACTGCTGCTGAATGAGTCAAATCTCTTTTTTCTCACCAGGAAGAACACCCCGGTGGGCCGCGGGGTCCTGAAGGCGTACTTTGCCACCGTGCCTTCGCTGCCTCTTCTCGTCTGGGTGAACCTCCACGCTGGGGGTCAAGTGTTCAAGTTCCCATCAGAGCAGTCCATCACCCAAACGAACATCTTGTCTTGGCTGGAGAAGCTGAAGGCAGGACTGGAGATTCCCAGCAGTAAGTGGAGGAGCGTTTGAAACGTTCCTAAGTGTGCACTCTTCGCTCCGCTCTGTTTATGAGAAGATGCTACGTGCAATAAATTGTCTGGCCTGGAATTTAATGATGGAAAAACTAGCTCTTCTAGTTTGAGTTGGAGCAGTACAAATAGTCCGGCCAGAACAGAATACCCATACTCACGAGTTTGCTTTGGGACTGTTTAATGTTCAGAGCCAAGCGTGAATAGTTCTGAATCGACATCTCTTCCCTGTAATAATCCCCAAGGCTGGCTGTGCTCTCCGCTTGCTGAGGACAGATTTGCTGAAACAGTGCTTGCTGTTAAAAAGTCTCCTGACTCCTGGCTGTCAGGGTAAGAAATAGCTGCTCTTTAGGCACCTTCCAGCATTTTTTTTTGGTCAGGTGAGTGGAAGGAAGCTGGTGTTTTGCTGTGGTCTTTGGGACATAAAGGGTTGGCAAGCTTTTCACTGAGTCCCTCCTGCCTTGATCAGCTAGGGAAGATTAGAAGAAAGGCAAATATGCAAAAAAGGGGCTGACAGCCTGCTTCAGGCTCCCAAAAGGCGATGGGGATTTTGATCTTTGATGAATTTCAAAACGAGCATTTCAAAGCGCTTGTTTCCAAACACCAGCCCCAGCCTGGATGGGTAGGACGTGTAGTAGGACGTGTGTAGGACGTCTCAGTACCCAAAGACATCACTGCTGACCCAGTAAGGTCTCTGGTTGGGACCTTCCCTCAGCTTTCAGGGCATCAGAGGGGTGCGCTGATGGTTGGGCAGCACGGCCAAGGGCTGTGCCAGCCATCACAGCCTCCTTTCTCGAGCTTTTAAGCACTGTGAACTGCACGATCAGCCTTAAAAGCATAAATTAAAGAGCATCCTCACTTAGCAGTACCGCTTCCTCTCTGCAGAGACAGCAGTCTCGCTCCATGCCTAATGACATTTCAGTAATGCACTCATTAACATAGCTATTTGAGGCCCATCCACTGCTGTGTTGCTGCTCCTCAGCTTCCCAGTTTGGAGCTCTGAGGACTCAGAAGCAGGTCTTTGAGGAGAGGAGCCCTGGGCCAGCTCCAGTAAATATTAATGCATCTGTGGTCAGTTTGATCTGAGGGTCAGTATTAGCCGTGGAGGAAAAAGTGATCTTTAAAAAAAAAAAAGAGATCTTTAATTTTGCATTCGCTGGAAGTACAGAAAAGCTAAACTTGGCCTGAAATGGAAATACCTGTGAAGGGGGTCACATCACAGCCTCTTAACTCATTAACAAGCGACTGTGTTCACTTCTCAGGTACCTTGTCTGAGGAAGACTGGAAAGCCACCTCTTCCCTGCTTACGATTTCCTCCAAATGATGGACACCACAGCGCCCGAATTCACCCTCCCTACCCCCTACCGCCACGGGGCCGGGGACGGGCAGGAGCAGCAGCAGCCAGAAGGCTCTGAAGAGAAAGCCACAGCCAGGGAGGAAACGCCTGAGGAAGCTGGGCTGAAGGCAGAGAAAGTCCAGTCCCCTGGGAGGGACCTGCGTGGGACAGCCCCGAGGCTGGCAGGGAGGGAAAAGCAGGCCAAGAGACACAGCGAGCTGTGAGAGTGAAAGGCTGTGGGACAGTGCCCAGAAAAACACTCTCGCTTTCTCAGCCCTCAGTGAGCCTTTGCAACAGAGAGAGAGAGAAAGAAGGGAGTTTGGCTGCGAATTGGTGGCGAGGGGATAAAACAGCCCCTGAATTTCAGCAGGGAGGCTGCTGCCGAGGAGTTCTGCCCTCCTGGTAATTGCTGGGGAGGCAGGGTGAGCTCACCGTGCATGCAAAATGTTTGGTTCCCCAACAAATCATTCCAGAAAAGCTGAATCAGCACAACCTTTCTGTACAGTTTATATCTCACGAAGATGCTCTGATCACCCTGGGCAGGAAGAGTGAGTGATTCCAGGACAAGGAGCACTTCTCTCCCCTTGGTTCCAGTCTGCACGAGGGCAAAAAATCCACTCACCCCAAAGCTGCTGTGTTTAAACTGACGTGCAGTTTTTTTACACCTAAAATTATTTCCACCTGAGTCAGGAGCTGAATTCATCAGTGCCCATCCTCGGGGCTGACAGCAGTACCTGGCTCAGGTGGCTTCATTTTGAGGGCCAGAATTGGGGTCAGCACAGCAGCTGTGAGTACCCGGCACAAATATTTGGGCCATGGCTTTTCTCAGCGCTGGCATTTTCTTGGTTGCAAGCCCGGGGGGTTATTTACAGCCTCTATTTTGCTGTGGTCTCAGTAACGGTAGCGAGGTTGGTGCCTTCTGAGCCAAGGAGGGTGCAGGGAGGGAGGTGTGTGGGGAGAGCAGCGGTACAGAAATGAGGGGAGAGAGGTCTAATCCCACTAACTGGCCATGAAAATCTTCTTCTTTTTTAACCTGCTCTGTCCCACAGCACTGCCGAGACGTGCCAGGAAGGTCAGATCTTCCTCCTTAGGGCTCTGAAGTTCCTGGTGAGGGGAAAAATTGGTGTTAGGGACCCACCGAGAGCCTTGTGAAGCCTCTCTCTCATCCCGCAAGCAGCCTACGTGGTTGGGAATATTTTGAAATGCCGAGAAATAACCCATTACTCTTGTGCTCTCCTTCAAGCCTTGAATTGGAGCAGGCCGTTTTTGGACTTACTGACCGGGCTGGGAGCCAAAATATCTGTATTTAAAGTCCTGAACCGCAGCGTGCAGAGCGGAGCCTGCCGAGCAGCACGACTTTCCCAGGGGAAGGAGGAGAGGGCGGTGAGTTCCCCTCCCTGAGCTCCTGGCGCTCCTTTACACGGCACGGGGGCATTTCCAGCTGCTGCAGCACCCTCCCACTTTGCACAGGCAAAGGGCAATATTTAGGCTCATCCTTCGGCCTTAAATAAATGATCTCTCGAGTTTAAGCGCTCTGCGTTGGTCCCAGTTGCGTGGAGCAGGCTGATGTCCCGGCCCCGCGTGTCCGGGATGGAAGCACTCTTCCAGGAAAGCTCCTTCAACCTCTGCGTGCGTGCAGCAGAGTTCAGAGCCCCAAAATCCTTTACTTCAGCAGATTTTGTGCAATCCCAGGAGCCTTCCCGGATCCCCGCTGCTCTTGGTCGTTTTTTTTATCAGGGACCTGAGCCACGCGGGAGCTTGTCACTAGGGGTCAGTGCCACCTCTTGGTTATGGCTGGGAAAATTTGCTTAATGCCTCTTGGAGAATCACCACCGAAGCCATGGGGGGTCAGGAAAGAGGTTATTTTGGGGGGCTGAGGGCCTTTTTGCTGCTGGGGCAGTGGCCAAAGCACCCCTAAGAGCTGAGAAGTCACAGCGCTACGGGGTTCAGCACATCACCAGTGGGGTCCCTAAACCCCGAGCCTCCCAGCAGGGGTTTGGCAGTGCCAGGAAAACCCCAAAACACATCATCAGCTCCCTGTGGTGACACGGGGAAGGGACAGGCTTGTCCACGACCCATCGAGCTGGCCGACATCCGCGTCTGATGAAGCTGCTGGCTCCGAGCAAGGATTTGGTCAGGGTCCTGCACCCCGTGGGCCTGGCTTTGAATTTATTTATTCCTTTAAATGCAAAATGTCTTTTCCCTTGCTCGCAGGCACTTAGAGGCAACCTCTCGAGGCACAGAGGTGCCAGGATACGGACAGAAAGGGAGAAAATGTTCCGAGGGCTGGGAGCAGCCTGATTGCGCTCTGCATCCTCCAGCTCTCCCGCTCGCTGGCAGGAGCAGCCCTGGCTTATGTTATTTTTAAGAGCGACGGCCCTGGGGGAAAGACCAGCACGGAAAGAAGTAGTCAACAAGCCCAGCGTGTGTTTATGGACGGGAGTGAGAAGAGAGCCCGAGGAAGAAGAGCTCTGCAGTCCCGCCGGGGTGGAGAAGAGGAATTCGGAGCGGTGGAAGGAAGCCAGGGGTTGCTGCAGGATGCTGTGAGTGTCTGCAGTGCCTTTGTGTCCCGGCACGTGCTGATAGGCAAGAGAAGCACAATCACAGTGAGCATTGACATTATCAGCTCCTTTTTTAGCCATTTAGCATCAAAATGTGTCTGTTTGGGCCAACTGCAGGGCTCTGCCTCCGAAGATGATGCTAGCGAGGTGCACAAGGAGCTGATTTCCTGATAGATTGGATTGACGGAAAGTATGGACACTTTGGGGGCTTAAATCACACTTCTTTTGGCTGTACTTCAGCAGTAAAAGTCAGAGGTGGACGTTTCGTGTGCTTCAGTTCCCTGGAAGCCTTGCAGGGGGTGTTCAGATGTCGGTCATTGACCAGGAGACAAAATGATGGTACAAAATCATGGATTGTTGGTACAAAATCATGGATTGTTGGTACAAAATCATGGATTGTTGGTACAAAATCATGGATTGTTGGTACAAAATCATGGATTGTTGTCACAAAATAATGGATTATGTGGCTGTGCTCGAGAGCGAAGCAGTTCAGCTCTCTGTCCCAGGCGATACGAGGTGCTCCGTGCGCCGTGAGCTGCCTGCGGGGCCACCACCTTCGGCTGGGCAGCAGCAGGGTGCTTGCTAGAGGGACCGAGGGATCATTTAGGGTACGCATTGGGTTTTCCATGCTTAAAGGGATGTCAGAGGAATAATTACAGAGGGTTCTGGTGCATGGCTTGGCTGAGGGGCAGCAAACTGAAGCATTTCCAAGCCCCAGGACTTGGCTGTTCTCAACCCATCCCCGTCCCCGTGCCCCACACCACATTTTAAGCTCTCTCCCCTGTGGCTGCACAGCAGGAATACAGCTTTAGGACGGCAGCAGGAGGCGTGCAGGAGAGGAAGGGGCACGGGAAGGACAGGCACATGCTGGCTGCCAGCTCTGCCAGGATGTGAACCAGGACAAGAGCCTGGTTTGGCTCACGGTGCCTGCGCTCAGCGGTCCCTGGTGCCGCGGGGACGCAGCATCTGGCAGGGCTGGGGGAAAAAGGAAGAGGAGGAGGATGGCAGGCCTTCCTCCTGGCACTGATGCGAAGGGGATGGGAGAAAGGGAGGAGCCGGCGTGGTGTCGGCAGGGCTGGGGATGGCAGAGGAGCTGTGCTTGTGTGCGGCTGGGGAAGGGAGGGCGCGGGGGCAGGATGGAGCTGGGCCGGGAGATAACGGGTGGCTGCGGGGCCGGCTGCCTTTCCTTATTGCCAGCGTGTCCGCCCGGCACTTCCAGTGCTAAAAATACGGCTGTGCTCCTGGCACTGCCCGGGGGAGAGCTGCGGGCAGGTAGGAGCAGCACCCGAAGCCGTGGCTCCTTGCGGGGTGGCTGCCGTGCCCGGGGGGCGAAGCTGGAGGAAGGGGAGCCCAGGCTGGAGGAGCAGGACCCAGAAGGGACCATCCAGCGTCCCTGTTCACCCCTCCGGGGTGAATTTCCCCCTGGATCAGCCCAGTTTAGGGGAGCCACGAGGGTTACAGAGGGCTGGGGGTGGAGGTGGCACGTCCCCGGCGCCACGTCGCTGCCTGCATTGTTCATTGTTCCAGCGTGGGGACGGGAGGTGATAAGGGAGGCAGAGGGCAGCGCTCCGGTTCCTGCTCCTCGACAGGTTATTTCCCCGCTCGCCTGACCTCTCCTTAGGTAAACTCAGTGCTTCACCTCCCCGGAGAGTTTGCTTTGCTCTCCCGCACTCGGCGGCGCGGCGCGGGGCCCTTGGACGAGAGCGCGGCTCTATTAATAGCTCGTGGGGTTGCCAAATCCCTCCTGGGTGTTGAAAGAGAGGCTGCAATCGGGTGATTCAGCCCCGGGTGGTGGGACAAAAGCGCCTTCCCCACGGGGCCGTGCTGGGAAAGGTCCCCTCGTCCCAGCCTGGAGGGGCACAGCCGGCTCCCCGGCACGGAGCAGAGGTGGGGAAGGGCTTTTTGCTCCGTGGGATGCAGGTTCCTTGGCTGGCTTGCAACACAAACAGCTGTATCGTGAAACCAGGGCTTGTTCCTCGCCGCTGGCTGCTGCCCAAGCTCCTGGGCTGGGCTCGTGCACCTGTAAAAAAAAAAAAAAACAAGATCCTTTGGTTGGGGACGCAGCCACGGATGCGCCACCGCAGCGCCTCGCACGCAGAGGTGGAGAAGGGCTTGAAAACCATGAGGGGCTCGGTTTTGCTCCATCAGCAGCCCTGCCAGGAGGAGAGCGGAGGCAGAGCCTCGCTGTGCGCTGCAGGAGGGCCCCTCCTTGGCTCCCTTTTGGGTTTTGGGTCCTGGGGTCTCCTCTCCAGCAGCTGGGCTCCTTGCAAGCGCTCCGTGCTGAGGAATGGGGGCTTCGGGGGGCTTTGGGGGGGCTGGGTGAGCTCCCGGAGATGCTCTGGGTGACCCCAAATCTGCTGGAGGAGGTGGGAGAAGTGGTCCCTGGGTGGGATCCAGGCGCTAACACCCAGGCAAATATTTAGCCAGGCACTTTGTGCCCAAAAATAACCCGAAGTGTTTTCAGGAGCGAAGCCAGCGCGGTATCCACGGGCCTCGCTCCCAGCCCGGGGCAGGGAAGTAGGGCAGGGACACGGCCAGCACCTCCCCATTTATTTTCTGTGGGGTCTGAGCCCTCCCAGCAGGGACAAGGAGCCAGCTGGGGGGCTCAGCACGTCCCGCTCGGGGGGGCAGCACGCCAAGGGCTGGGGCCAAGCATCCCCACGGGCTGGTTGGTGTCTGTGCTGCTTTGGGGGGAAAAGCTCGGGGATGCAGCAGATCCCCCGGGGGCTGGAAACGGCTCTGGCTCCTCCGACAAAGCCCCTGCGTGCTCCAGAGCCGTGCCTGCAGCAGGCACCCGCGGCATCTGGCTCCGGTGTGCCGGCGGCGATGGTGTGCGCAGAGCCCCAGCCCAGCCTTCCCTCACCCTCCCCACGGCCCTATATTTCTCCCCCTGCTCAAAAATCCCTTTTTTTTTCTCCCCAGACCACTGTTGGCTTCTCCAGGAGGTCCCAGAAACCCAACCCAGCTCGCCGAGCGTGGGCACCAGCTCCGGTAACAGCCCGGGGTGCGACCGAGCGTGGCTCAACCCGTGGGATTTTGGGGAGGAGAGTGGCAAACGCCAGCTCCCAGCCCTCTCCTGCACCACCCCGTAGGGGATCTGGCACCTGGAGGGCTCCGAGGCCAGCCGAGGACCCCAAAAGGGCAGACCCCACAAGGGCTCCGGGTCCCCTGCTCTTCCCCAGGGAGGAGGCAGGAGGTCCAGGCAGAAGGAGGTAAAACTTGACCCCAAAAATGCTCTGAGAGCTGCACTGCTGATGCACGCCCCAAAACAAACACACAGGTATGAAATAAAATCCTTCCGGGCTTGGCCTGCCCTCCTAAAAACATGGAATGACTTCGGAAAAGGGAGAGAAAAGAGGAGCTGCTCCCCCCGGCAGGGGGAAAGCAGCAAAGGAGCAATGGGGTGGCGTTTGCTGGGCAGAAACCTGTCCCCATCAGCACTACCAGGGGTTGGGGGCACGGTTCCTGGGGTCTTACAATGCCTGGAAAGGGCTGAGCTGCCCCAAAAAGGGGCTGGGTGATGACCGCGTGCTTGAAAACCCCTTTGTGGAAGGGATGAAGGAAGCTTCAGCGCCCCAAACAAGAGAGATTCAGCTTCAGGTCTAGCAGAGATTATCAACCACAAACCTTGCAGCTCTTCACAATCCATCCTAACAACCAACCCCGCTGAGAAAAGATCCCAAAACCACCCCTGGCTGCGGTGGCACGGCTGGGGACAGCCCCGGGGGGCTGCGGGGACGGCGATGCCCGGTGCCCGGTGCCCGTGCTGGGAATGTCGGGGCCGGAGCAGCTCCATCCCCGGGGCTGTCTGAGAGCCATCGAGGCTGCAAGCGAGCTTTTCCCATCCCTTTTGGGCTGGAAGAGGCATTTAGGGGAGGAAACAGCAGCTGCTCGTGACAAATAAACGTTCCCTGGTGTATACAGCCGCTCGGCACGACAAAGCCCATCGCCCCCCGGCCTCTGTGTGGCCGGAGCTCTGGATAAACACGGGGAAAAACCAAAGAGCCCGGTGTAAACACAGCCCTCGGCTCTTTTTAACTCTGCTCAGAGCTCTGGCCGCTTTGAAAGCTCCCATCTGTCCCGGCCAACGCCAGCCCTCCTGCCCCTAGGAGGAGAAAAATCTCGCGTGCCCCCTCGGCACCGCTTGGGGACGTCGAGCTGCGGGGAAACGGCACCCTTAGGGGATTTTCTCCACCCTGCCAGGGGTTTTCTCCACCCAGCACCATTCCTGGGCTGCAAATCCTGTGCAGAGCCCTGCAGGGATGGGGACTGGGGACAGGGATGGGGACGGGGATGGGATGGGGATGGAGGAAGTGTGGGGCTTGGCTGGGTTCCCTCGCGTGCCGAGCAGCACCCTCAGGCTCTGCGCCCCGAGCAGGAGGCAGCCCAGCCCTCGCACGCAGGTGGTTTCCCTGGTCGTGGCCACAGCAGCCCCAGCTTTTATTCTTTTTTTTTTTTTTCTGGAGATTCCCGACCTGACACGGGCTGCAGAGGGGCTGCAGCACCAGGAAGATTTGCTGCCAGAGCACGGAGAAGTGCGGAGTCCTGCAGGGTCTCCTGCCCCGCACCCCTCGGCCCCGCTGTCACCGCTGTGCCCCGCGGCTCGGCGTGGTGACCACTGAAAAACATCGCCCACGAAGCAGAGAAATAACCCTTTTTTTTTATTATTATTTTTTCTTTTTTTAGGGGTTTTTCTTTCAGCCACAAACTGCCAGCTTCTGCAGCTGAACCGCAGCGAAACCAGGCCAGGTGGGGGCTGCTCTCGGGAACCCAAACCGTGCCCAAATTTATGATCTGCCCGGCCCTGTCTGGTCTGCACGTGGCTGCCTCCAAAATCTGGAGACCTTTGCTCTCTTCCTCGCACAGACCCAGCTCCTGGGGCTGCTAACGGGGCTAAAAAGCTGATAAAAGGGCTTGGATTGCAGGAGAGGTGGCAGCAGGCAGCGCGTGGGGCAGGACGGGAGCCTTACGGCACGCTGAGCCCTGGGTTTTAGCTTTTACGGCCTCCCCGCGGCCAGATGCTTGACATGGCTCTGACACTGTTTAGTCTCCTGGTTTGGAGGGCTCGGATTGCTTTGGGAAACGCGGCTCGGCTGCTTTTCCCCACGGGCTGCGTGGCTGGGGTGGACGCAGATGTTTCCATGATTCAGAGGAACCCACTTGAAGAACCGAGCGGCCCGGCACGTGAAGCCCTCGTGGCTCCCCGCAGCGCTCACGCGTCAGGGGCTGGGTGAAAAACTCCTTCCAGACCCCCCTCCCCGTGGGGGTTTTGCCATCAAAGCTGGTTATAGGGGCGTAAGGAGAAACCCCTTTGGTAATTTTGGGCTGTTTTTTCTCGGGGTGGCACATCTCCAGTCGGGGTCAGCGCGGGTACCAAATCTCCTGCCAGCATCCGTGGCGCTGGCACAGCCCTCGGGGCCAAATCTCCCCTCTCAGGGAAAATAAAAAAAAAAAATAAGATTTGTCTTTGCTCCTCACGCAGCAGTCGTACAGGGAGAGGAGGCTGGAAAAAAAAAAAAAAAAAAAAAAAAAAAAAACAAAAAAACAAAAAAACACACAACCCTGCGTGCCTCAGCTGGATGCTCTTAGCGGGGAGGACTTTCTCCGGGGGCGAGCGCCGGGGCGGCGGGGGGCTCGCCGTGCGCACGCAGCCCCGGAGCAAACAAACAAGCGGCGGCCCTGGAGGGTTTTTGCTCTCGTGCCGGGGCTGTATTTTTAGCTCCCTGTCCTCGCTGGGTGCATACAAATGTCCCCCTTGTGCTTTCAAGAAGCCGGAGAGCCTCTTGCCAAGCCCGCCGGGCATCCCCGCCGGTCGCTTTCCCAGCGCGGAGCATCCCTGCCGTGGCCATCCCGGGGCCGCCTGCTGAGCTGTGCCTCTGCCTCCCGCGTTCCTCCCTCCTGCACCAGGAGCCGTGGCCGGGTACGGGTGAGACAGGGCGCCCAGAGGAGCAAAAGTCCCCAATAAACCAAAAGGCAGCACTGCTGGAGGTGCTGGGGGGGACCTTAACCGCTGCGGGGCTGCACAGAGCCACCGAAATCCCTGAAAATGAAAATAAATATAAATATCATTCATGCATTGCAAAAAAAAGCTGAAATATGGCCACTGAGAAGCGATCCCGCTCGCATCCTTGCTGTTCCCAAGATCTTGTGGCCCTCCTGTGCCGGGCTGGGTCACGGATTTGTTGATCCAAGCTCTGGCTGTGATGCTTGGGGTACCCCAACAGGCTCCGGGGCGATAAAATGCAGCCTGAGCCCTGCCCTTGGGGATGCTGGAGGTCTCTGGTGCCAAAAAGAGACTCGAAAAACCCAGGAAAATGGGATCCAGAGGGGCTGGAAGCGTTCCTTGTGAACGCACGGGGACGCAGAGCTGAGAGCAGCTCCGGCCAGCTGGGCTCGCCGCCCCTGCCACGTTCCCACCCCGGAGCCTTGTCCCCTTCTGCCAAGCCCCCGGAGAGGGACGTGGGGCTCTGAAGGAGCCGCTGGAGCCCTGGGAAGGATGAGGCTCAGCCAGGACCCAAAACAGCCAAAAAGCAGAGGGTTCGCTCGCTGCCAGCCCTCGGATCACCCGGCCCCGCGGCTCTCCGGAGGAAATATTCCAAAACAAGTCGGAAGCCAAGGGAAAAGGAGCGAGCCAGAGGGAAACTCCCCTCCCGTCTTCCCTGCTGCTGGAAAAAAAAAAAAAAAACAGTGTCCCCAAATCGTGGCAAGGCGCAGGGCCCCGCTCTCCTTGGGGACGAGGCAGGAAATGAGAAATGATGAAGGGAAGGGCACAGGCAGCGAGGTGCCACTCGGGCACGTTGCGTTGGAGGGCAGCAGATGCCGGCTGAGATGACGAGAGGCCAATTAATTTCATGGCTCCTTCGTGACGCTGATGAAAGCGGCTCAGGACGCTCTTATTTGGGGCTCTCCTGGGCCCTGCAGAGCGCTAATTTGGGTGGTTTTCTGATTGATGGGGGACCCGGCAGCTTTTTCTGGGGGTAACCCAGTGCGCCCAGCGCCCGGGGACACCGGGGCACCAGCGGAGAGGCGCCGCTGCTCACTGCCGGGCTGGTGCCAGGGGATGGAGCTGGAAGGCACCTCCCGGCCCCGTGCTTCCTGCTGGGGAAGCCACAAAACTCCCAAAAAACGAGCAGGCGGCAATTAGCGGTCAGCAGCCGGGCTGGTGGCTGGCAGAGCCCAGCCTGCGGCGAGCACGGGACCGTCCCGTCCCATCCCATCCCGTCCTATCCCATCCCATCCCGTCCCATCCCCATGGGTGACCCTGGGAACCTGTGGTCACGTCCCCCCCCCGCTACCTCAAGGGGATGCAGCCCTTCCCCTGCAAAGTTTGGGGTTTTTCCACCCTTCGCATGCCCGGCAGCTTTTCCTGCTGCTTTAGGATTAAGCAACCCGAAATTCCAGCCTGAGCACCGGTGTCGCGACCGGCCCCAAACGAGCGCGAGGACTCGTGGCTGTCCCCAAAGGGGTTTAGGATGCTCCTCAAGCCCCCCTCATGAGACATCGAGCCCCGAAAAAAAAAAAAATGGGGAGGGGGCAACACGGGTGGGCAGCGGGGAGAAACCTCGTGAACCTGGAAAGCCAGGGCTTTAATTAATTAATTACACGAGCAACGGGGCAGGGCGCAAAGGCTGGCGGCTGGGGGGCGAGCAGCCCGTGCTCACCGCTCCCCCCAAAAAAAAAAAAGCCCCCCCCCAGCTGCAGGAGCTGCCAGCAACCCATCTGCGGGGCTTGAGCAATAGCATCCCAGGCCTGACATCTGCCCACACGCATTTCGGAGGCCAGTAAACTTCCTGTGGATATTGGCAGGCTGACAGCCGTGACATAGATCCTGCCCTTTTTTTAGCCGTTGGGGTTGGGGTTTTATTTTTTTTTTAATTTGTGTGTGTGTTTTTTGGTTTTTTTTTTTGGTGTTTTGATAACAGGTAGAGGCTTTGTCAGCCTCTGCCCGGCTTCGGGACCCAGGTGTCCGGGTGATGTCCCCCCACATTGGGTCATTCTCCTGTTTTGTAGGGCTGTGGGCACGGTCTCCCCTCTCAGCCCCTCTTTTCCCCCGTACCAAGGGGCACAAACTCACCACCACCACGCAGCTGGCTCCTTGGAACGACATTTATTACAAGAAGGGGTTTCGCATGGCCGACACGGAAGAAAGCTCCGAATCTTTGCCCGTTTGGGCTTTTTTGACACCACTTTTGATGCTGCAGCTCCCCAGCGGGACGAGCACCAGGACAAACCCAGCTCAGAGGGTGGCAGTGCCCCCAGGAAGGGCAGGTCCCCTTTTGGGGAAGGCAGAGGGGTTTGGTGCTCCTTGCCCTGGTGGGAGCCACGAGGATGAGTCCCCCCTCCTTCACACCAACCCCAAACCCATCGGTGGCATCACCGTGGGTGAGACGCTGTGATCAAAGCTGCTCCCCACCAGGCTCTGTGTTCCCGTGGGATAAAGAAAGCCCCTTGCAAAACGGAGCAAAAATGGGGAGCCCTGTGGTTCCCCGTGCCGTGGCAGCACACGGAAAGGCCAAAGCTCGGCTGCTTTCTGCCCTGCGCCCCTCGGACACGCGGGGCTGGCACCGCCCGGAGCCCGAAACTGCCGGGAGCAGGGGGGACGAACAGACACGGACACACAGAGCTACACCCCATAAAGTGCTTTTCCTTGGGCAAGCAGGCTGCCAAAGGGGAAAAAAAAAAGAGGGGCGAATGCTTTTTCCTCCCCTGCATAGCAGCTGCCTCCTCTCCTGCCTGGTCCCCGGCGATCCGGGTCCCTGCGGCCAGGGCTGCGCCTCCACGAGCAGCCCCCGGGGACACGGCTTGGGAGGAAAGTGGCGAAAGGCACACGGGTTGTGCCCCGTTTCCCCAGCAATCCCAGCACGGGGGATGCGGGTGGAAGGGCAGGAGATGTCTGGAGATGCTCGAAGCCCCACAAACGGCCCCTTTAACCAGCAGCATTCATGCGCGCAGCGGCTGCGGTGTCCCAGCAAGTCACCCCGTAGCTCAGCCCCTACACGACGTGTCCGAATGCGGCACGCATCCATCGCAGGGCAGGGGTGGCCCCATCTGATGGAGGTCGTGCCATCCAGGTGCCCCGGTCCCATCCCACTTTCTGCCCTGTGGGACACCACGCCGGCTCCGTGCGGCTCCCCGGAGACACGCGGCGGCACCAGGCGCAGCCCCGACAGCAGGGACGTCTTTTAGGGGCCATAAAACCTCGGTAACACCCTCCAGGGCTGCACGGCACCCCAGCCAGCAAGGTTTCCTGGCGGATTTACTGCCCGCTGGGGTCCAGCCTCGTCTCCAGTTTGGTCTTTGCGGGGGACGGGGTGTGCAGGTCCTGGCCGGCGGGGGACAGCTGGCAGCACAGCACCGAGCGCAGGACCCGCAGCACCGGCGGGCGCAGGATGGCGAAGACCCAAGGGTCGAGGATGGGGTTGATGGAGAGGAACCTGAGCGCCAGGAGGTCCCAGTCGTAGTTCTGGCCCTTGTTGAACTTGTTCATGTAGGCGCAGACCTGCAAGAGAGCAACAGGGGGGGGGAAAAATGATGCCGGGGCTGCTCCCCCAGGGGCCGGGAGCCCGGCAGGTGAGCGCGGTTTTCAGAGCAACAGCTGGGGAAATGCGGGCTGCTTTCTGTTCCACCAGGTTAAATGAATTTCCTGCAAATGAAAGCCAGCTCTGCGCTCTGCCTGCACGCAGCGAGGCTTCACTGAGCCCAAATGCAATTAAGCTGGAGGCTGGTGAAGGAGGCGGCGAGCGGCCGCACGGGATGGGGACGCAGCGGGTGCGGGGTGCTGGGCAGCCCCGGTGCGGTGCTTCCTGGCGTGTGCCGACTCATAGCGGCTTACGGGGCTTCCTGGCAGGGTGACTCAGCTCTCCTTACTCACCCCATCGCCACCCCCTCGCTCCCACGCCGCGGGGATGCTCGGATGGGGAGCTGGGGGCACGGGGAGCGCGGTGTCCCCGCTGCGCCCGGGGTGCGCCGGGTACCGCTGGGGGATGGCGGAGCTTGCCAGCCTGCCCCGGGCTCGGGGCATTTTTTTTTGGGGAAGGGTTTGTGATTTTGTGGGCTGGGAGTGTCATGGTTCGTGTGCTCCTCCTCGGAGGGTGGGTGCTGTGGGCCAGAGGAGAAAGTGTCACGCCCAGGAGGCAGCGTTCGGCGTGGGAGACGATGCCAAAGCGCTGCCCAAACGCAAACCCACGTGGGAGCCAGGGCGATGGGAAAGGAAAAGGGACAAGGTTAAGAGCTGCCACCACCGGGCCCATGGGATCCCCATCAGCGGCACTTTCCCACCCCGCCTGTCCTGAGCAGACCCGGCCAAGGGGTCCCGGCATCCAGAGCCGGGCTCCTCCAGGCTGCGGGGAGAGCCGCCCGGCGCGCGCGGGCCCATTGACGGGAGCTCTCAGGATGTTGAGTCTGGTTCCCGGGATGCTTGCGAGCTCCCGGACATCGCCGCTTTGTCTTTTCTCCCTCTTACAACCCAGACAGCCTGGCTTGGCTACAGCCTGCGGTCGTTTTCTCTTCCCTCGGGACTCTTCCTTCTGTGAGTGCGAAAGGGAAGGTAGCGTCCATTTAAGTCCACGAGCACAAAATTAGTGCTGGCAGCACGCCCGACCTTAGCGGGGCTCGCTTCTAATGGGAACTAAACGACGGCGAAGGAGCCTCCCACCGCGGCAGGGCTCGCTCACGCGGCTCCGAGCCTCCCGAGCTGTGGCTGGAGGTGATGGAGAGCTGCCGGCGGTGAGACGCAGCCCGGCGGGGTGACCAGCAGCCCCCAGGTGAGGAGAGCACGGCCCTGCTACGCGCTGCTTGCCTCCCAGCCCAGCCCAGCAGGGGTTTTCTCCCTCCCCATCCCCACCTTTCTGTGCCTCGCTCCTCGCCCTGCCACCCCTCGCGCCTCCGTGGTGAGCGCACGTGGCCCTTGGTGATGGCAACCCCGGGGGACCCCGGAGTGCCCGGGATGTGTGGTGCCACCCTGCCTGGCCTCGAAGCCTCTGCGGGAGGGGAAGGTGTGGGAGAATCCCTGGCTCCCCGTGAGCATTGTGAATCGCCCGTGGTTTGCGCCAGACCCAAGGTGTCCCGAGCTTTGGGAAGGAGCTTGGATTTGGGGCATTGGAGCAAGAGGGGAGCCTTAAAACAGGAGAGAGAGAAGGCGGGATGCTGGGGAGGGGACTCACCCCCGGGGAGAGGTGGTGGCACTCACCGTGAAGGGCAGGGAGCAGATGACGAAGGTGATGGTCATGATGGCGAGGAGCAGGAGGTGGTCGATCTCCTCGGCCATGGAGAACATGCACCGCCCGCCGCCCCCCGCCGCCCGGGGCTGCTCCGGCGCGGCCATCCGCCGGGTCTTCTGCCCCCGGCGGTGCATGCGGGCCAGGTTGCTGATGACGCTGAGGTTGCAGAGCAGCACCGAGAGGATGAGGAGCAGCAGCAGGGTGGCGTAGAGCAGCGAGAAGGTGACGTGCATCCCCGCCTCCTCCGCAGCGTGCCGGCCGTCGTCCAGGTACATTTGGATGAAGCACCAGGTGCCGGGGCAATACTGCACGTAGCGCCCGAAACCCACCAGAGGCAGCGAGCAGAAGGCAGCAGAGAAGGTGTAGATGGCTGGCAGGGCCACCAAACCCGTGCGGGGGCTGAGGAAGCGCTCGTAGAAGTAGGGCCGCCCCAGCGCCAGGCAGCGCTCCAGCGCCATGGCGAAGAGGATGAGCATGGTGGCGAGGCCGAAGAAGCTCATGGAGAAGCCGAAATAGAGGCAGAGGTGGCCTCCCCGCGCCAGGGCGGTCAGGGTGAGGTTGCGGTGGTAGGAGGCCAGCACCAAGGGGCTGACCGAGCAGGTGCCCAGCAGGTCGGTGACCACCAAGGCCAGCACCAGGACGTGGAAAAGGGACGGTGGCCGGGCGCGGGGTGGCCGGCGGCAGCGCAGCAGCAGCCCCAGGGCCAGGAGGTTGCCCAAGGAGCCCCGCGGAGAACATCAGGGCGCTGACCAGAGGCCGGGCACCGGCCACCAGCGCCTCGCCGCGCTCGCACGGCTCCCGGCCCGTCCCGTTCATCGCCGCCGCCCGAATGCGCCTCCGCCGCCCGCCCCCCGCCCCGGCCCCGGCGGCGCCGCCCCCCCTCCCGGGCCGCCCCGCCCCGGGGCCGGGCCCCAGCCCCGGGGATGCTCCGGGAGCCCCCGAGGATGCTTCGGGAGCCCCCCGGTGCCGCCGAGCTGCGGGGATGCTTTGGGAGCCCCCCCGCGCTCCAGGGTTGCCAGCACCCCGCTTGGGGTGCGCGGGTGGCCAAGGGGTGCGCGGGGGGCGCAGGGGGAGCCCCCCTTTCCTGTCCCAATGCCTGCTCGCCCTGGGGACCCCCCAGCTGGGTGGGAGCCCAGGGGGGACAGGGGGAAGCCCCCAGCACTCAGCCTGCCCCAGGGGGCTCACCCAGCCCAAGCAGCAGCCCCAGAAAAAGTTCCTTGTGGCGTTGCCGCGGGCGCGCAGGATGGCACAGGAAGCCTCGCCGCTGCGTTGCATTTCCCCTGGCATGACCCCAACCCTCTCCACACTTTGCCCCTTCCTTTGGCCACCGAGCACGGATCCAGCTCAGGCAGGACACGGGTTCACCCTTTCCTTCATCCCTGCCCCAGCTGGAGCCTGTCCCCACTCGTGTCCCCCCCCCCCAAAACCCGTCGAGATGCGGCGCCGTTGCTCAGCTCCGGCGTGGGCACGCCGCTCGCTGCCACGCTCACGTTTTCGCCGTTGCTTTTGAAAACTCCCTTTGGTAACAGGAACTTCGCAAAGGAAACGCCATCGAAGGCGAACTCCAGCGGGGGGTGAGATGTGGTTTGTGACAGCACCTTGGCTTCCGACGCGAGGTTCCCGTTCCTCGGGCTGCTCGCACGGCCCGAGAGGCTCCTGCCGTGTGCCGTCACCTCCGCGGTCCCGTGGCTGAGCGTGAGGGGTGTGATGGAGGGAAAGAGGATTTTTGTGTGCTTGTGGGACAGGAAAATGCCTGTCCTAGGACCTCTGCAGCCCCCCATGGGGCTGATCCTGCTGAGCATCAATGCCCACGGACACGGACGATGTCGGGAGCTGTCCCAGCAGCTCCCCAGGCTGCAGAGGGCTGGATGCGACCCCGCCACGCTCAGCCCCCCAAAAAAGCCCCCAAAAAGCAGATTAAAACGGTGGCCAGGGCCAAATCCTGGCCTGGTTGGTGTAAGCAGCCCGGGGAGGCTGCGGCGTGCGCTTTACGAGCAGAAGCCCTCCCGCGGGGTGGCTGCCCCAGGGCTCCTGCCAGCCTCCCACTCCTCTCTGGTGGTTGCTATCGCAGCTCAGGAAAGGTTTTTGGCAGGTTCTGGAGCTCGTTTTCCTGGCAGCTAATGGAGCCTTAAATACCCATCTGGGGCTTCGGGCTTCTCAACCGACAGTTGCCTCTGAGGGGATATTTTTGCAGTAATAGGGAAATTGCTGGGCTTTTTTTTTTTTTTTTTCTTTTTTTTCTTTCTTTTTTTTCCCCGTTCTGAGCTCAAAACCAGGAACATGCCACTTGGTACAATCTGTCCGTTTCTTGGGAAGTGTTTGTTTCCCCCCCTTCTGCTTCCATGTTTATCTCCGCGTCTAACAAGGAGCATATGTCTTCCCGAGGGTCGTTGGCATCATTTTTCCCTAAGAGGAGATTTATGGGGCTGTCCCGCTCGGAGAAGAGCTCCGGGCTCGGAGGAGCACTGAGTGAATTTCACAGAAACCCCGGGGCCAGGAGGACGCAGCCCCTGGGGTGCTGTGCCCGGCTCCGTCCGCGGCGGGTTTGAAATAAAGAGACCCACACGGGTGGGTTTTGACCCTTTTAAATCAAAAGCCCTTCTGTTTAGAAAACCCAGACAACGTTTTCCTTCCAAAGAAAACCCAGACGTTTTCCCAAAGCGTTCCCAGCCCCGACACTTCTCTGGTTGGTGCTGGAAGCAGCCTGGCTCCCCGGCTGCTCGAAGCCGGGCTGAGCACCAGCGGGGCAGGGACATGTTCCTGGGCCCTGGGGAGCGCCAGCACCTGGGCGCACGGGTTAAAAAATGCAAAGCACTCACTGGCTCGTGGTGTCGTACAGCCCGCAGGCTCAGCGCCCTGGCTCGGGTGCCTGGCAGCCGCGGCGCTGCAGCCTGCCCAGGCACGCGGCTTCCGACTTCGGGAAGGGCTTAAAAATGCAAGCAGACAATAAAAAAAAAAGAAAAGAAAAAAAAAAAAAAAGGGCCCCGTGCAAGAACCAAGCATGCTGCTGGGAAATGAGCTTTTTGGGAAGCTCCGCCTGGATTTCATGAGCTGAAAAATATAAAAATATATATCTATAAAAATAAATCAGCTGGGCTCGATTTACAGGGTTGGGTGACGCCGGGGACAAGGACACCAGGGACACCGTGGTCACGGGAGGGCGGTGGGCACCAGGCAGCAGCTCCAAAAGTTGCCTCGCTGCTTCCAGCCAGCTGCAGCACCTCCTGCTTGCCTCCGTTACGCACCGGATCCGTGCCTTTGTGCCTCGCTGGCACCGCAGCACCCTGGTGCAAAGGGGCCCCCCCGGGAATTGCCGCGCGGTGCCCGATGGCCGGGAGCAGGGACAGGCTCAGCCCTGCAGCCCTCAGCATCTCTGCTTTTTACCTTTACAGCTAAACTGCAGGTCTCAGCGCTTTATTTATTTATTTGTGTGCTTGTTCATAGGAAAGGGCGATGGGTTTGGGCTCCTGAAGCCCCCAAAAGGGGCAAGGGCACACCTCGGGGCACAAGGCTGCCGAAGGGGTGGGTTGGAGAGGAGAGCGCAGCCCCCTCCTTGCAGCTGCTTTGCTCTGTCCTGCTCTCAGCCAGCCCTGGCTGGGGACGTGCTGCCATCTCTGGAGAAGACAGCAGCACGGCAGCCCCACGGCCCCAAAACGCAGCCGAGTTTTGGATCCCAGCGGTGTGAGGATTCGCCAGCAGCTGCTGGGGTCCCCCCTGCTGTGAGCACCCATGGAAAGCGCCACCAAAGCCAGGTGAGCGCGCCGAGGTCACCAGGATCCCCCAGGAAACCTATGCAGGGAGCCTCTAGGGATGGGGTCGGGGAGGCAGGGGCAGGGGTTGGGGTCACCCCACTGCCCTGCAAACCCCCCCAAAACGGGGACGTTTCCTTCCTCGGGTGATGAGCGCACGGACGAGTCCAAGAGCGCGGCGCACGCGTCACCTGGGGGCTCGGATGGAGTCTGCATCCACGCACCTTAATAAAAACCCTGATTTATTTTAATTTAATTGCTCTCACTTCGCACTGAGCACAGTCCCGGGCTTTACAGACCCGCAGTCAGCACCCGGCTCGCGGCACCAGCTCGCAGCCTGCTTCGGGACGCTCTCCCGGAGCGAATCCCGCTGGGGGCACGGCTCCTGCCAGCCCGGTCCCCCCATCCTGAGCGGTGCACGGAGCCACACGGCGGAGGAGATGCCAGCCCAGGGGCCAGCAGGAAGGTTTTGCAGAGCCTTTATCCCAGCCAGTGTCCGTCCTGCTGCGGAGATCAGCCTGGTGAAAGCCGTGGCGCTGCCTCGGGGCCGCTCCTGAGCTCGCAGGGTCCCACGTGCGCCACCTCCAAGTCGGGAACGTGCGAGGAACGGGACACCAAAATGAGGACCAAGCCTCAGTTCAGTCCTTTTTCCGCAGAAAACCCCGCTGTGGGGCACAGAGCGGGGATCTTGCAGGGCCGGGGGTGCCCCCCTGAGTACCGCCAGCCCTGCCCTTCCCTCCACCAGCAGAGCCTGGCAGGTCCCGGAGCCGGAGCAGGAGCGATCAGGTCACCTCCAAAAAGCCCCAAGCTATATTTACCCGAGTTGCTTCCTTCAAAAGGAAAATCGGTTTGACAACAAGAGTAAATACCGCGTGAGAACTGGCAGGAACACGGCTACACCTTGCGAGGCTTGGCTAAACAGAGGGAGAGAAGTATTTGCCCTGTCTCCTCCAAGGACGCTAAGCAGATGGGGACCGGGGTTATCGTCATTTTTTTGTCCTAAACGGCCACTCGAGGCAGATGTTAAACAAGCACACCAGTTTTAATACGCCTGCTTGAGGGGAAATGGAGCTTTCATTAAAAGGATCTGTTGCTCGCATGCTTGCGCCGCGAGGTTATACATCCTGGGCTCTGCTTTTTCTCTCGCTTGCCGCTCTTATTAAGAGCGGGTATCGTCATAAATACCGCCTTAAAATAATTACGGGCAGCCTCCCACGGCACAGCTGGGCGCGATCGATTCTCCAGAGCAGAGCCACGGCGGGGAAATCGCAAACCCTGAGCCGAGGAGGGGCTGGGGAGCTGCCCCCATCCTCCTCCCCGGGCACCCCGAGGCACCGCGGGGACAGCGCAGGGGCCGACCCCATCAGCTCTCCGGGCATCGTGCGTGGGATGAGGAGATGGGGCAGGGCTCCAAACCACTTTTATCCGAGGGGGGAGGCATGAGGCTCTCCCCCCGGTGTGCTCCTGCCCAAACGCAGCCCTGGCACCCCGCACCAAACCCCGCAGCCGTGCGCTCCCCGACCTCTCCGCCGAGCGCTGCAAAATCCGCAGGTCCCCGGAGGGATCCCCCCCCTGCCCCCCGCTTCCTCCGGCGGGCGGCACGCATCCCCAGAGCCAAAACGGGGCAGAAACTCCACTTGCCCACCCCGTGCCACCGCCCAGGGCGCCGTCTTCCCCGCGCTGCTCGGGGCCGAAGGCTCGCTCCTCATCTTCACCGGCTCCCGCGGCCCCCGCCGCGCTCAGGGGAAGACGAGCTGCGGGGCGTCCGTCCTGCGCCAACCCAGGGGGCAAAAACGAGCGTCCCCCTCCGGCCCCGGTCCTTTGAGGGTGGTGGCCCTGCGGGAGCCCAGGCGGCGGCAGAGCCTGCGGACGAACATGCGGAAGACGGAGGTGCGGAAGATGATGAAGACCCAGGGGTCGACGATGGAGTTGACGGAGAGGAAGCGCAGGGCGCTGAGGTCGGCGTTCTCGTTGAAGTCGGCCGCGAACGCCCCCATGTACGCACGGATCTGTCCGAAACAGGAGGCTTCAGCGAGGCCGTGGGGGGGCTGAGAGGTTCGGGGGGGGTGAGGAGGGTTCCCACCCGACCCATCTGCGGGGTTCCCAACCCCAGGGTGGATTTTGGGGAAGGATTTTGGGGAGGGTTTTGGGGAGGGTTTTTCCCGGGTCAAGAGATCCGGTGAGGTTCCAAGGGACCCAGCACCTCTGGGATGGGATGAGCGTGGGGGGGGGGACTCAGGGGGGGCTACTGAAAGGTTTAACACCCCTGGGAGTGGGCAGGGAGAGGGTTCAAGGGGTTAAATCAATGAAGTGACCCCCCCTCTGAACCCCTGGGATGAGGTGGTGGTGATGGGGGGGGGTGAAAAGGGGACTAAAGCACTGACCCCACTGCCCGTGGAGGGGGTGGGGGGGTAATTAAAGGGATTAAGGCAATGACCCCAGGCCACTGCCACCTCCGGGATGGGGGGGGTGGTGATGGGGGGGGGTTAATTAAGGGAATTAAAGCAATGACCGAGCCCCCTGACCCCTCCGGGATGGGGAGGTAGTTACGGGGGGGGGGTAATTAAAGGGATTAAGGCAATGACCTGAGACCCCTGACACCTCTGGGATGGCGGGGATGATGAGGGGGGGGTCAATTAAAGGACTTAAGGCAATGACCCGACCCCCCCGACACCTCCAGAACGGGGTGGTGGCGATGGGGGCTGTCCTTCCAGGGCGGGTACAGCGATCCCCAGACCCACGGGATGGGGTGGGGGATATTGAGGGGGGGGGCAAAGCAACGACCTAACCCCCCCGGACACCCTCTGGCACAGCGTGGTGGCGATGGGGGGGGGCCGTGGGGGTTCAAACCAACCCGTGGGACAAGGGGGGGGTGAAACACAATAACCAACCCCCCGGATGGATGGTTATGGGGGGGTATCCTAAAGGGGGGGGGGGGGTAAAGCAATAAGGGGTGGGGTGGTGGATGGGGGGGGTACTTGGAGAGGACCGGAGCGAGGTGTTCAGGGGGCGGATTTCACTGCTGGGGGGGGGCAACAAGGGGTCTGGGAGGAGGGAGGGGGGGGGTGGTGGTGATGATAAGGGGGGGGGGTCTCTTGTACTCACGATGAGCGGCAGCGAGCAGACGGTGAAGAGCACGGTCATGAGCCCCAGCAGGACGAGGTGGTCGAGCTCCTCCATGCGGGGGGGGCTGGCGGCGGCGGTGGCAACAGCAGCAGCCGGGGGGGTGGCCGCTGCCCCCCGGGGGGGCTGCCTGCGGGCCATGCCGTAGAGGTGCCGCATGCTGCTCACGTTGCAAGCCCCGATGGCCAACACCAGCACCCCCATCAGGCTGGCGTAAAGCACGGGGAAAGCCCAGCTGGCCGACCCCCCCGCCGGCCATCCGGATAAAACACCAAGTGCCGGGGCAGTACTGCATGGGGACCCCAAAACCCAGCAGCGGGAGCGCGCAGAAGAGCGCGCAAAGCCCCGCCGCGGCCGGTGCCAGCGCTGCGCCCAGCCGTCGGGTAAGGTGGCGGCGGTAAAAATAAGGGTGGCCAAGAGACAACCAGCACTCCAGGGCCATGGCGAGCAGCAGGAGGGTGGGGGCCAGCCCGAAGAAAGCCATGAGGAAGGCGAAAAGCTGGCACAGAGCCCCCGGCTCGCCCTCGCCTCGCCCCCCGGGGGAGCCCAATTCGCTCAGGCTGCGGTTGTAAGCGTAAGCGGCCAAAACCATGGGGCTGAGCAGGCACTTGCCCAGCAGATCGGTGACCGCCAGCCCGCTCACCAGCACGTAGAAAGCCGAAACCCTCGGGGGGCGACCGCCGGGCGAGCGGGAGCGCCGGCGGTGCTGGCCAAGCAGCAGCAGGGCGAGCACGTTGCCCAAAAGGCCAGCCCCAAAAAGCACCGAGCTGGGCACCGCCGACTGCCCGCTCTCGATGAAACGGCTTCCCCGGCACCGGTAGCCTTCGCTCGCCATCGGGCAGCCGCCCTCGCCCTTCCTCCTCCTCCTCCTCCTCCTCTTCTTCTTTCTTCTTCTTCCTCGCCGCCGCCGACTGGCCCGGCCCCGGCGCGGGGTGGGAGGCACGGGGGAGGCGGCGCGGAGAGGCTCGGGGCGGCCCCCAGGGGCGGCTCCTGCCCGCCCCCGGGGTTAGGGGCTGGGGGGGGCACGGAGGGGAAATGGGGGGTGGAGGGGAAAGTGGAGGGGGGGTGGGGGGAGGTCCGCTGGGGGGGGTGGGAAGGGGGCGGGGGTGGGGGGATGGGGGGGTAGGGGGGTGGGGGGGGTGGGGGGAGTTGGTTTCTGGGGGGGTTGGGAGGTGGGAAGGGGTCGGGGGTGAGCTCCTGGGGGGGCTAAAGGGGTGGGGGGTGAGGTTCTGGGGGTGCAGGTAAGGGGGTGATTAGCTCTCGGGGGGCTGGGGGGGTGGGAAGGGGTCGGGGGTGAGCCCCTGGGGGGGCTAAGGGGGGTGAGGGTATGGGGGGATGAGCTCCTGGGGGGGTTGAAGGTGAGGGTAAGTTGGGGGGAGAGCTTC